TCCCACATTTGACTTTTACAGTTTAACAGAATTGAGCACGGGCATGCATTGAATACTCACCGTTTTTTTGTACGAGTCAACGAATTTAAATGAAATCAGGTAAAACAAAACACCTACTGCTGCCAGCCCATTGTTCTTCTGAGAAACTACTTTTAATCGGTTAAAAAAAATCCAATGCGTAAAAGTACTTATATTATTTGTAAAGTAATAAGTAAGTGATTGAGCTGGATTCACTCACAATCGGCAAAAATAGTAGTCATGCGAAATTCCAGTCCAGGTCCAACTCCGGGTCCGAAGAATGAAGAATGAATTGTAAAAGTGAAACAAATTCTGGTCTTTTTGTGACTAAAATAGTAGTTGCCTGCCTTTACCAAATTGCTTACGATGTATGAATGTATGCCTGACTATCAAGAGTCATCGTGCCGAGAATAATTTAAGCATAAATTCAAAGTGTTTTTAAGAGCCATCGAAATAAATTCGGCCGAGTGCGAGATTATTGTCTGAAAATGGAAAACTATACTTTTATGTAGATACAGTCGCCGCGGAAGCCGTGGGGACATTAACAAGGGAGGGCCGGGTTTATATAAGATGGGGAGATGATGCGAACATCGTGGGGACATTGTCCCCTCAAGCTTCGTTCCGCGGGCACTGTCCGTGTTCTGGAAAAATGAGCACTTACAACTTACCTACATTGTTCACATAGCCAAGTAAAGTAAAGCAAATAAGGCTAGCAAGTTTTTAGTTTTGGATCTGAAAATCAAGCTCACAAACACGCAAGCTTCCCATTACTTTCTTATCGCACTTTTCCCTACGTTCCGATACTGCGACCAATTTTCAACAGCTACCAGTTAGCGAAATAAAAATGAGGACATTCATTCCCAAAGAGAGTGGAATAGGTTTAGGTGGGTGGGTGGGTGAGTAAGTGAGCGGGTGGGTGGACCAGGTAGGCATTTGCACATACATGGCTGAGAATTTTGGCCACTTTTTTGATGGAATCTTGACAGATTGAATTGCATCGTGTGTGGAAACATTAAGAATGAATGGCAGGTTCTCAAATAACCTCAATTTTACGACTTTGTTGCAAATTTCCATTAGTAATTGTATGCTTTCATCATCATCATCAAATCCACTTCCATCCATAAAAGAGTATAATATAACGTGGAGCAGGGAAAATTGGTGGGTAGGGTAGAGTTCGTTGTGTTATGTGCATTTTGGTGCAGGTAAGGTAAGCCTAGCACAAATGTGAGATTCGATCCTAATAAAACGTCACTAATTGTTACTCAGAAGGGTTAAATAGAGGAGAGTATAGGGTACACGGATATACTTGCTGGACTGGAAGTAATCAGCAATTAACTTATTTTCATTCAATAAATACTCGCACTTTTATGGATTCCGGAGTACTTTTTCAACCCACACTGCTTTTTGTGTACCCACCTTATTTACGAGTCATAACGTATTTCATACATACATGGCCATACCCAACAATACCGGCGGGGGTCCAACTACTACTGTCCATCTATCCATCTCTGACAGGGCATCCTTTACGTCACCCGAGCTACCGATAATGTGACACATAATGTGACGTTTCATAAAAAGTCTCCCCCAACGATGATTATCAATGAATGAATGAATGACAGGCCCGAGGAAGAAGAAACAGAGACCATTGTGTTCCAACAATAGTCACCTGCAAGCAATGTCAACCTCCTTCCGGCCTTCTTCTTCTTCCTTCCCCATGCAGGTCGTCCGTGGTTCGGTGGTATTGTCCCGTTTTTCTATTTTTTATAGGTACACCTCCAATTCAATTCAACAACCAAACTCTCGCCTACACGTTGCCTTTTGTACCAAAACTCTGTGATGTACGTAAGCAAGTGATTGTCCCTTTTCTCGTCATAAATATGAGGAGACACTTATTGTAAATATTTCCTCGTCCTGTTCCACTACGATGTAAATACAATAAATTCGCCTGAACCCGGCCTGTCTCTCGGTGCACAATAATAACCAGCAGTATAGCAGTGGCCGCGGAAGGTGTGGGGACATCTGGGAACATTAACATTGTAGGATAAGGGAGGGAGTGGTTTAAATAAGATGGGCAGATGATGGGACATTGTCCATCTGTCCGCACCCTTCCGCGGCGACTGACCATCAGAACAAGAAGAACAGCAAACTACGCTAAAATTCGTCTTAATATCCCCTCCGCATAAACTGTAATATTCAGCTCCTCGATTGTTCTTGTCGAGTCTGGAATCGATCCACTTCACTTTCATTTCATCGGCCTCTTCTTGTTTCCTCAATATCTTTCAACACTTTCCAAAGTCAAATTGATAAATGTATAATGCACGAGGACGAGTAGCTCAAAAGGGTCGTCCGAGCTGATTATGAAGTGAACTTTACTACTCTCTGATGGATGATGATGACACATAAAAGGCAGCCCAGAAGTTCTCTTAATGAACACGTAACGTGCTTGTTCATGATGAGCTTAATTAATTTCAATAATCCGAGAACCCGTCCATGACTCGCTTCATCATTTTCATTGAATCAATTTATCCAGTTACTTAAACTTCTTCACTCAAGCCGAGGGTAAAAAGCGGACCTGAACGAACACATTATATTTTATATGCCGTTGACTCAGAAGCTAGTGATTCATCTCATTTCCACTTTTTGCAGTATATAATATTGCTCTTTTCTTGTTGAACTTGTTAAATTGTTTCCACTCCACGGACGGTGTGCAATTTTTTCCCAAGAAACAACACAAACCGCAAGGTTGGGATTTCCAAGTTTTATTAAGCAAGAAAGAACTTTATCAGGTGGTTGTGGAGTGGAGTGAGTGGAGCTTATTCATTAAAAGTCCGGCTGGAAGGAGTTGATTCAGGTCTACATTTGCCAAGAAATCGTTGACCATGACATGAGAATTTTTGGGAAAAAGGTACACAACACACGGCTACGACTACTCCTCGAGCTTCGTAATAATATTCCATTCATGAAAGAGCAGTGGCCGCGGAAGGTGTGGGGACATTAGCATTGCAGGATTGGGGGGAAGGGACGGGTTTATATAAGATGGGGAGATGATGCCGACATCGAACAACCGTGGGGACATTGTCCCTTGTTCTGTTCCGCGGCCACTGTGAAGGAGAGGAAGGACGAGGCAGTCATTATTATGTACTTGGTTCTTTTTCTACAATGGATGGTTTGGTTTTACTATGTTGACACGGAAAGGAGAGGAAATTTGCACATCTTGTCGTCGTCGTCATTGTCACTCAAACCACTAATAAACTACTTATCATTATCATTTACGTACTCCAACTCGCGATCCAACTCCATGACGATTAGGTAAGAAAATGTGTATGGTTGGTATTGCTTAATTGTCGGAAATCGTCACTTCCTCCCCTCTACCCGAGATAACAGCCAGGGGACCATTATCATATTCCCACGTGCAGAGGATAGAATAGAAGAACAGCCAAATAATCCAGGTGCAACACACAAATAAATATTCCTGCTCAACGACTCGACTCTTATTCGGTTTGACATTTTAACCTCCTCCCTCCCATTTGACAAATAATACGAGGTACAGAGACCGATTTACTTTTAATCTATCCTCCCATTAACGAATAATAATTTTCAATATGACCCCACAACGAGGAGGACGTGCACCCGAAAAATAAATCGTTGCCCAATTATTCTCCATTCCATCCAGCACTTACTTATTATTATGTGTAATCCAAGAGTAATAAAATGGTCGATGTCGTTAACAAGGAATGACAAAAATAATAAAATAAAACACCACTTCTACTATTTATTTACTGCCCACCAGTGGCCGCGGACAGGGACAATGTCCCCACGGTTGTTCGATGTCCGCAGCATGTGCCCATCTTATATAAACCCGTCCCTTCCCCCCATCCTACGATAGCAATGTCCCCACAGCTTCTGCCGAGGCCACTGAGGGAGGAGCACTACCGCGATTTTAATGACGGGTTAAATCGTCTCTTGGACGATATTATATTTTCTCAAATACAATACAAATTACGGAACACAGTAGTCGTCCTCAAAGTGCCAGTTGTTTAATAATAAAACCACCATTTTTCTTCTCCAGCAACGACTAACGACTCCCTTCTGCTCTTCTTCCGAAGTGGCAGTTAGTTGTCCAGTTCAGCCAGGTAACAAAAACGCCAACACATGACGCCTAATTTCAACATCTCGTCGTCACACAGACACGATTTTACTTTTACATCCCTTAAAAAATTATATTATTAGCTAGCTTAGCTAGTTCTTCTTCCGAAAAGGAGGCGTAAATATGGACAAGTTCTGCACTATTGCTTTTTTGAGGAACGCGTTTTTCTACAGGATGCCAGGCCAGACCAGAGTGAGAAAGATTTTTGTAATTGTCCTCCGGCAAGCAGCGAGGCAATTGCTACGTTTTTTTCGAGAATTGTGTCTCCGTCTCGTCTCTAAATTGCACCTCGAGAAGAAGTAATAGTAGGAAGAAAATAAGGAACCAAATGCAGGTGTAACTCTAAGGCTAAAATGATGATGACCAGGCTGGAAGGAAATGTAAAAATGGACTCGAATGCAGGCAGTTTAAAACTTTGTCTTATTCAAACGTCTCTCGTTTTTTCCAGGTTTTTTTATCTTCTTCAGTCGCTCACTCCACGCATACAAAGAGATTTCATGAATAATATTCATCTCTTCGCTATAATTGTGTAGCTCGTACTAAAATGAGACTATAAAACCGTTCCGTTTTGCCTTACATTTAGGTAGGAAAAGTGAAGATAAATAAATAATTTTCAAGAAAGTGTGGCCAAAAGTTTGTCAATTCTAGGATTTCCCAATTTTCCAACGGAAATTCCCCAGAATAAGTTCATCTCTCAAATATCTCTCTCTTTTATCCAGTCAAGATTACATAATCTCAACTTTTCAAAATAATAAAATTCACCAAAAAAATCAACCCAACGAATTTTTCCCCAGGGTCAAATTATGCCACGAATCAACCCAATTATGGCTCTCACCTGCTTAAATAGTTTCCACTCCGGAGTGATGGATGAATCTTGCAGAGTGTCCTTCACTAATTATTCAGCCACAAAAACACTCTCTGGTCTGGTCAAGCTATTGTTTTCAGTCTCAATCAAAATGACCACCTGCACTAATCACTAAGCAGAATACGTAGAATATCACTTTTCAACTTAAGTTAAGCTAAGGTTTCCCTTGAAAAAAATAGAAATACAACGAGCCCCAACTTTCCGTGACCACGCAGTTGAGACGCTGGCAGGCTACTGACTGCAGAATCGTCAGCCGCACACGCGACTGAGAAGCACCATCCAAAGCTATACCACCAACCAACCAGTTATTTTGCCCCGACGTATAAAACCAAGAAATATACGACTTACTACCCTGTTAAAAGAACAAGTTAGTCGTTGGTGGAATTGCATTTAGTACAAGTTATGCGGTAAAACCGCGGAAAAGAACTATTTTTTAACACTAAGTACGTTATATCCCACGATTATGCCCATTAAAAGTCGAATTTTGGATATCCCGCCATAGCTCAAAAACCAGGTCGATTTCGAATAAGTTGTAAATAGGAGAAATCTAAGGTGGGCCATTCCAAAGACGGTCCCACTTTGCTTCGGTCGCTAGAATGTAACATCTTGGCTGTAGTATTGGTAAGAAATTTGCAGCCGAAATTCCGAAAATTTTCAAAGCTTTGAACTTAGCGCCAGACACAAGCTGCATTTCGAAAAATGGTTTATGAGAGGAAATACCACATAGCTCTGAGGAATAATTATCTAGTTGCAATATCTTCAAAAAGTCAATCTTGTTCATGCTACCCTTGTCAGAATGACACGACCCGAAAATCGACATTTTGAATTTTCGCGCCAAAAGGAGGCATGATATGAAAAAAATTTCCGACTAAAATTTGTAGCTATTCCACCTGTGGATATAACCCTGTCGCTGGTTTTTTTTAATCTTTGGCCTAAATCATTTACGGTGGTATTTAGTGTTATTTTGTAAAACAAAACGTTTTGGTGCATATTTCAAAAACGTTTCAAAATTTCGAAAAACGGTATGCGTGCCCTATACCTAGATTTGGGAGACGGTCATAAAGTTCTTTTACCTTATCTTTCTATCTTGTAAGGTTTCGCCACACGAGCATTTTTATTTAACATTGGAGTGTCTGCTGACATACTATACCTTTCATATACACATCCAGCAAGTGAACGTGGATAGAAAAAATAGAAAAACAACACAACGACGACTGCAATAATATCTTGTCCTCAGTTCACCACTTTTCTTTTTCTTTACGTAACAATTCTAACCGAGTCAGGAAAGTGTGTATGCCTTGGTGAAGACTTTTCAGTTACACAATCAGAAAAGTTGATAGTTTACTACGTTTGTTGGTTGGTGGAAGGATGGAAATCGTCTTTCTTAACGACATCCATTTCCATCCTGACTGGAGGAAGGATGGATTCACTTCACTCCTATTAAGAAACGTGTTACGGAACTTGCTTTCCCAACATGAAATGAAACGATGATGATGATGATGATAATGAGGCAAATCATTATATTTTTCTCGTCACTGGTTGGTAACAGTGAAGAGAGTATTCTTGTCTTTTAATCGTAACGGACTTGAACTCCATGTGTGCTTTTTGCAGTTGGTTTCCTTCCATGAAAGAAGATCTGGAGCTAAAAAATCATAAAAAACTCAAAACATGAATGCTTATGTAGGAAAATTTCGAAAAAGTTTGAATTTTCACAAAATTTTGCATACTCAAGCACCTTCTCGACCAGAATAAGTCAAAAGAAATATAATACTTATACTTGTAAACACTGCAAAGATCTGGAGCTCAGAAATCAAAACACGAATGTCTTCGTATGAAATTTCTTAAAAATTTGAATTTTCACAAAATTCGAATCATCTTCTCCAGCAGAACAATAAGAACCGAGATAATATTCATACTTGTTGTAAACACTGCTCAAATTAGCATCCTAAAATTTGTGCATGTCTGCCTATCCATGATTTTTTTACAACCAAAAATGAACCCATGATTCACATGATGCAACGCAATGCAACCCTCTCTCTGTGAATTTGAATCACTAAAAACCACCCAACATTGGACAACATCCTGTCAAAAATTGCTTTCACAGTTGAGTAGAAGTTGACGAAGCTGAACAAGTTTCGTTCGTTTCCCAAAATGAAGAAGCAGCTCACGGAAAATGAGAATATTCACTCGTCTCAAATTTTATATTTATTACTTCTCAGCAAAAGATTGAGCAACTTGTAGAAGAAAAAAAAACTTTTTAAAAACTTTTTGTTCCATACTTTCCTTTTCAGGTGAGCAGGAGCAGCAGCACGTGTGCAATGCAGCATTCGAGGAGTAAAATTATCATGACCATGAAAATGAGGACCCCGTTTTAAAAAAGGACATTAATTGTTCTCGCTCGTCGAGCAGTGGCCGCGGAAGCCGTGGGGACATTAACATTGTAGGGCCGGGTTTATATAAGATGGGGAGATGATGTCGACATCGAACAACCGTGGGGACATTGCCCTTCCGCGGCCACTGTTCTCGAGTGTGTCAGAACAATACAAATAGTGAGAGAGAAAAAAATAAAAGTTGCTGGGTAGAAGATATCTATTTGTAGGGAGGGATGCTATTTATCTATATCCGTAGTATAGACCTGTTTATTTGGATGTGGATGGATGGGGAAGATAGCTCTCTGCTCCCTGCAGCCGCTTCCGGTTTTTTGCATTTGGCCACAATGCATGCTGCTGCTGCTGCTTTCATTTCATTCATTGTTTATTGAAGTGTGTCAGTCAGAAGCCCTGCTCCATTTCCAAGTCTGAAGAAGAAGAAGAAGGTGTGTGTGCGTTGGGTTCAAAAGACGTTAACAGTCGTAGTGATCTCTTTTAAGTCATCTGCTGCTGCTGCTGCTACTGTTTGTAGAACTGGAGGAGGACCAAGTTGTACGTAGTGGAAATGGTCCGTTGGTTGGGTTGTGACACCTGCCTGCCTGTTATGATGGCCTTTCTAATCTATGCTGAGAAGAGGTTGAGACCGATTTCCTATCATTGTTCGAATGACAATAATACAAGTTTTGGAATAATGCAATAACCTTCACCTTTGATGAGATGAAATGTGATGGAAAGTGTGATGTGTGTGTACTGTGTATGCAGATTATTTGGTTCAGTACTTAAGTGGTCTAGATGCATATTTAAATTTTAATATGCAAATGAGGAGACTAATGTGGTTGGTTATTACAATAATTTGATGGAAATGCATACTCGTAGGAAACAGTGAGAACCCTGGTTCGTAAACTAAGATGCTTTTGTGGCACGAACTAGGAAATAGGAAGGAGCGTATTTTAGAGGTCCTTTGAAGTTTATTACTATCTTTACCCTTCCCCTCCCTTCAAACTCAAAGGGTTTGTGGAAACAGATGTTGGTTAGTTTTTGAAAAAAGAAAAAAAGTGGTGGCAAAATGTCCCAAGATTCAGTTATGTTTGGTTGCAATGAGGGGATTGCACATGGTTTATATGACAATGATTTTACACTATTTCAAATATCTAACTAATACTCTGACCGTTTATTGGATCTTGAACTCAATTCGGAGTTTATATAGGTGAATTAGAATCCGAAGAAGATATATTTCGAAATAAAATTAGGTCTACGTGTTTGAAATTTCCTTAAATTCTTCTACCACAGACTGCATCAATGTGTTGAAATTAGTGGGACTTTTCTAATTTCTTCCTCAAGGATTCTGGCATTTCTGGTGGTGGGGGTCGTGGGAGACCTATTAAAAAGACATGCATTTTAATACTTTTCTATCGAAATTTTTTGCATTAAATTGTTTTCGTCACTCACCGAAACCAACTTTCACAGCATCATAGATGAACCACTGAGCGGCAGTTAAGGTACCAATCATAATGATCCTAGCAGTAAGTCCCTTCCATAGACCAGCGAATCCCAACTCCTTCACAACTGAGGATGCGGTAGCTCCCTTCTTCTGGTTCAATTTAGACACCACGGTATCAGCGGGATGGGAGACGATGGCGCAGAAAACTCCAGCAATGTAACCGGCGGTGAAGGTTACGACGAGCTGTTCGCCCTTTGTGCACTCTGCTCTAGGCTTTGGTACAGCATACCTGTAAATATATAATTTTAAAAGTTAGTTTTTCTTATATCGTAAAAATTGAATTCATTACTGATTTTTTTATTAATATGAAATTACTTGTATAAGAGTTCGACGGTTCTCTCAAAGCAAGCAAACTTCATCATTGTGTATGGAATTTGTCGCATCCATAAAGGAACAAGTGACTTGTAGAAGCCGTTCAATCCTTCTTGTTGATAGATAATTGGAGCACCTTCACGTAGAGTGCTGACAAATCCGGGCATCGTTTGAATTCGGACCTATGTATCAATGATAATGAAAATTTACATTAAAATGAGAGGAATATTTCAACTGTGACAATAATTATTAGTAAAATTATTCTCGTGTAGTTCGAGTGTCCCCAAAAAGAACAATTCTCCCTCAATAAAAGCTTTCTGCTTACACAGAAACTGTGAGTTCGAGTTAGTTCTTGAAGGGGAAGCAAAGTATTTTCGCACACTTATGACTCATTCATTCCCCACCGCTTGGAGACTGGATCTAAGGAGCGTGCTAAGTAACTTGTCAGAAACTAATCTGTATTTTTACTCACTTTAACGGCTTCCATTGGACTCAGGGCAATGTCAGCGAAAAATTCAGCCGAGGCAGATGCAGCCAAGTAGAGCGATGTTCTCCACAAGTATGAATTCTCCTCTCCCAGCATTCCAGAGTAGACGACCTTAAACAGTTCATAAAAGCCAAATTTGCACAATCCTTGCATTGAATAGCCAATGAAGGTGGGTGCCCATCCCTTGGCCAAGCCTCGAGCGCCATCCTCTTTCACGGTGACCTTTAATGAAAAAAATAAACTTGAATTACTTTCACCACTAAAAACTCATACAATCATTAAAAAATCGTATCCAAAACATACTCTGAATCCATTGAAAATGTTCTTGTACTTGTCAGGGTTCACTTGAAGCCGGCACTTGACCAAGTCCAACGGTACGACGGCGGTGTGGGTAAATCCGCAAGAAATAGCACCCCCAAGACCACACAGAGCATAGTACTTCATGGATCCATACTCACAAGAATATTGCTCTGCAAAACAAAATTAATTCAAACTCTATCAAAAATCCTGGATAAAACTGTGCTCATATTTAACTCCTTACCAGTGGCTGCAGCAGCAAAAGCAATATTTCTCGATGGGATAACCGTCGATTTTGGCAAGGACAGCTCGGCATTGTTGCTGCTGCTGCACTTGGCAACTTGAAACGGGTTGAAGAAGGGGTTCTGCTTGGCAGCGTCAAATAAATTTTCAATCATCTTGCTAATTTACTGGAAAAATAAAATATTTTTTTGTCGTAAATCACAAAGTTAACCACACAAAGTACAGTTGGCAAGTATGCTTCTAGCGTAATAAGACTGGTGGTGTGGGTTTCTTATTCCGGAGCTATTTTGAGACATTCGGAACTGAACTTTCACATGCAATTTTGCACCACCACCAGAAGCACCACTACGACACGATATAGGTTAGTGGGGAACAGCAGTAGCAGCAGAATGTACCAAATGTACTGTACTAATGCCTTTAGTTAAAAAATCTCGTCATATTTATCCATAGGAGAGGAGGAAGCGGTTATTGGCACGCCTTGTCACGTGGAGATCACGATCATGGACATTCGAACGGTCTATGATGCAATTAAACTTAACTAACAACCCGCTCAACAACTCTCGATTATGCAATCTATGTATCTGCGTAAAGCAACAACCCTGCCGTGTATTTAATCAATTGCTAATTTGTCGATGGATTGGTTATTGGTTTGTCTATGCTATTCTACTCGCTAAACAAATGCAAATGAAAGTAGGACATGAACTCATGTGTCCTTTATCATACGTTTTTAAGTCACGTGCTAGACGACAGCAATTGACGTCCGGTTTTTCTATATGACGTACCAACCATTCATTAACTATATATGAATTAACACCTTATTACAGATGCAAATCAGAAGTACATTTACTTTTACAACTACAAATTGCAAATTTTTACCAAAAAACAGCTATTTTCACACGGATCTTGCAATTCTCTAGCTACTTTCTTTAACCCTCATGCCCCTAAATATCTAATCCTTTAATAAACCTCGGCTTAAACAAAGATTATCTCAAGATTAAATTAATACTTTAAACCCTTTAATAAAATCTTTAAAACGACACGGCCACAAACGCCGGTCGGCCCTGGAGATTTGTAACGATAACCGTGACTGGGGTAGCTTATCGAGCCGAGGAAGAAGAAGGTTATCGAGAAAATGTGTGCTTACCTGGAATTGGTGGAGTGGTTATCTGGGAGAAGAGAATTTAGCCCGGCCTACCTGCTCAAGATGGAGAAGAGAAAAGAAGGATTGCCTGCACTGCAGAAACGTGAGATTTGCCTTGCCAGCCAACTGATATAAAGTGGCTCTGGACTGTCAATTGGGCATGTCCCCACCACCGGTCCCCCTCCAGATGGGGCCCCACGACGCTCACAAAAAGACAAAGCAATCTCAACGTCCCCCAGAAAAAAGGGTTAATAAGCAGTTATTAAGCAGTTGAAGATGATCATTTTTTACCCGTATTTCACTTACGCTGTTACACACGCTTTTTGTAAAAGTTTAATAAAGCCAAAGTGTCCATGTGATGATTGACTTTAGTGTTGGAACGATTAACTGATTTTAATAAGTGAGTATTTAGTACGATAAAATTTGCATAATCATTTTCATATCTTGGGATAGGACATCTTCTTAAGTCCGACTTCCGGTACAATTCCGGTTTTTTTGCTAAGACGCAATAGTTAGTTTTAGGAATTTTTTAAAGAAAAAATCTGAAATTTTATATTTTTTGGATTTATAGATTGCGTAGATTTGCTGCCATTACATAACTTTCCGATATTTTATGTATACTCAATCTGTATTTTTTCTTATAATGGAACGAGATTTATCGCAGTAAAAATATATAAAGATTGTGGTAATGTATAAAAAACTTAAATTTTCAATACGCATTATATCCTTTGGGGTTTAATTAAAACCAGTTTTAAGGAGAAAATGAGGAAAAAAATAAAATCGACGTTAACGTCATACAATAAAAAATGTTAATAAATATGTTAATATGTTAATTCTTCATTTGCAGATTTCTAATTGGAAAGTAAAGTTTCTTACGTACGATTCCTCATAATTTTACCATGTTCCGTCCAAGTGATGCCGGTGGAGGTGATGTCAAATTATTTTTGTAATTAGAAATTTCACGCTTCTGAATGAAGTTAAAATAAAATCTTTTTTAGATGGTGAAGATGAACAATCGATAAGTAACAGAATTAAGAGTCACGTTGCGGCATTTGTTATGCTGGTCGTGCTCTTCCGAACAGGTAATTAATACAAATTCATATTTATGACAAAAAAGATGCAATTTAAAATAGTGAGAAGAACCATGTAAATTTTTTATGAAACAAGTTTTTTGTAAACGATGAGCAAAAATCTCGAGTGAGACGAAGATTTCTTGTTGAAATTAGTGAGACAATTAATATGTCTACATGCACAATTATGGTGAAACAGGGTTTCACTATTTGATAAAATCTCATAAATTCTGGAATTGCAGATTACAATTACTGAACAAGAGTTTTCAAAAATTATTAAAACCATTGAGCAAGAACATATTTACACAAGAATAGTTTAACTAAATAATAATTGTGCATAATTCGGGACAATTTGCCCATGAAAATTTATGACATGAACATTTCTTTCTCCATTTTAAACAAAAAATTTACCCTAAACTTGAATGATAAAGTGCAAATGAAACCTTAATAAAAAATAATTTACTATTTCTATAAATTTTTACTCTTATGCTTTTCTATTTTACAGCCAAGGTAGTCGTTGATCGTGCCGGGTACGGTTTTCCCAGCTAATTACAATCCCCCCCCCCCCACGCCATCAACTACAAAAAATGCCAGCAGAAGAACTGAATCGTACGCCAACTCTACATGCAGAACAATATTTATATACTTACTTACTAAATATTTAAATAAATAAATGCATCATAACCACCACCCAGATTTTTACATTGTTCAATAAAATATCATTTTTATTGTAAATTGATAAATGTGTAAATTGTAGGAGCACAAGATTGAAATAAAACATGATCCTTCTTATACTTTATATCGGCTCCAGCACACGTTTATTATGTTGATGGATTCACATTACTTTTAACACAAATAGTTAATATCTATGTATAACATTATTTATATAATTAATCGACTCGTTCTTCTCTCCTCCGTACAAAAGGATTGATGATTAAATGTATAGTAACTTGTCCTCGTTTTTTTCCGCAATATTTTGTCAATAACTTAGGTTAGAAGTAGTTAGTTTTTTTATCAATTAACGACGATCGGTACTAAATATAGTACAATATAGTTCATATATATATCGCGTCGCTGGCCTTAAATATAGATTTTTTTATCCATTAAATGAGTGACATAGGCTTTTTTCTCTTCTTCATAATCAGACGAGCAATAATAATAATTGATGAATACTTTCTTCCGACAGCTTTATTTTGTGTGTATTTTGGGGGGAAGGGGGTCATAATGAGATTGGTTCCCTTATTGCTCGTGGGTGGGAGGTTTATCTATCTACATAATGTCGCCGTACTTATCATGTGGGTGTGTCTTATCGAATAATATTTATTATGGGGTTGGTTTTGGTTTCCGGCAGGAGAGGAAGTCTCAGTTTTGCGACAGGGTTGCAAAAATCCTTCCTTTTCAGAAATTTTGTCCCCGTTTGCTCCCTTCCTCCCCTCTCCGATCTCGTCATAATAAAGTAATGCTCTAAACACATTCATGACTCAAATGCAATTCCACATCATTTAATATCTTATCTTGGTAAAATAAATACTTTTCAGGACATTATAATGCACAAATGATATTATGATTATAAAACGACTGTATTATGGCTATACAGTAGTAATTATGTAGTGGTGGTAGTGTGCAGGAGTAGTTAGTTAGTTAGTTAGTAGTTATTTAGTCTGTAGTTTGGTGTCGTAATAATAATAAGGAGTATACTAATAATATGTAATTGATGAGAACAAACTCGTTATTATTGAATAAATACTCTGCGACGAGCCTGCACACTTGTGATCCGTGGAGGTAACGACGCAGCATTTTTTTACATACAAGACCCATAAATATAACAAGTAAGTAATTAATTATTCAATAATTAACAAAATAATAATCATAATAATATACTAGTTGTATAGTCATAATAATAATTCATTTCACTAGTGTTTGCTTGCTTTGCTCGCTGGGTCGGCATGTTGTTTTGTTGAGGGCATAGCATAATTAATCATATAACGGAAGTCTCAGGACAAGTCAAGTCTCTCTGCACCGAGGAACGAGGAGGAGAAACTGACTTAATTACATGGTAAGAATAACAACTACGCATCATACTCGCACTAATTTTACAAGATAAATAACAATGAAAAATTAATCAGAGGCTATAATAGAATAACATCATCTTGTGTACTAACTACGCCACGACGGCATCGTTGAGAAGGACATTATAGGTAGGTTAGGTAAGTAAACGGTTGGGGTTCTGTAGCATTTAATGGATGGGTGGGTGTAGCTGTACATTAAAAAAAGTTTAAAGTGGGTAGTTTGGTTGAGAGACTGGCTAAAAAATAAAACCTACCACCACCACAAACCAACCAACTAGCCAAGCAACCACCATGAGGTTGACTAAAAATTTATAATTAATAATTCATAATAATTGTAATAATAATAGTTGATTTATTTCAGAAGGCGTGTCAAGAGAGAGAGAAAAAGAGAGAATACCTTCGAATCATTCGGACATATTAGTTCATCTTGTCCGAGAAATAACAAAGAGTGGTAAATAAAACACTCGTCTAAAAAAGGACAGGCAGGGGTACTAACAAACAACGTAATAATTCATAATAATGCTCAGACCATGTGTAGTAGTAGCATACGGCATAATAATTGATAAAAATAACAATCAAAATAATCATAATAACAATATAATAATGATCTCATCATCGTAGTAGTAGTAGTAGAAGAGTTCAGACTTTAATTATAATCCCATAATCATCATTAAAAATTTACTATTATTACTTAATTTGCTTATATATATTGCACATGATCTGCTATATATTCGTTCGTACACGCCTTTTTTCCTTATATAATCGATAGTAAAAAGTTTTTGCCGTTTTGTTTTTTTCAATGAGTTCGAGTGTGATAATTGATTTCCTAAATTTTAAAATCCTATGTAATAATCGCAATATGTGTGTACCAACATGTTTGAATAGGTTAGCTTATTACATGAATGTGCATATTAAAAGTATAGCCTACCCCCAGCTTATAAAGTATTGGCTGTGATGGCGACCGACTGACGGCGGTCTGGAGGCTGGAATGTCGTCTCCCCTCCGCCTCCTCCTCCTCTTGAATCATGAGAGGGGGAGGAGGAGGACGAGATGTATGTTTGTATAGATAGGTAGAGTAGTGTGTTGAACGGGTTTATGTCGTCTTCTTTTTTTATCAACAATACTGAGTTTTGTCCACTGCATCAGAGATCACAAAGGCGCACACGAGGGTTCTTCGTCTGACCGCTCAGGTGGTGAGTTCATTATACACTACACTATATGACTAATTTCTTTTAGCTAACTCCCTACACAACCACTCAAACATCACAAAATCCGCAACAAGCAGACCCAAACATCAACAACAAGATGATGAGACTGGGCTGAAACTTAGTGAGGTACACACAATAATTTTCTAGTAGTTAAATTATATGCTTATGTTAAGTTATCTGTAAGGAAGTCTTTGGCCTTCGATCAGTAACACTCTATAGCATCACTCTGGGTGTCACAACTGATCCACGTACTTGGACAACTGTTCCTGCGGCGTGAGAACAGAGTCGTCCGGTACCAACTGCGGTGAATGTAGGATGTCCAATTGCGGCGTCCCCGACCCACCACCTACAGGATGAGGTGATTGCGACGTAGGTGGGTGCGGTCTGGGTGATGGTGTGGGCATTGCTCGAGGCGATGCGCTAGGCCCAGAAACCGGGGTGGGGGGACCCATTGGAGAGGAGACTGGCGCCGGTCTTCCGCCAAATCGTTGCGATTGCAGAGATGCGTTTCCCATTTGAACGTTTGGATTCCCAATCTGTGCCATTGGTGACATCTGAGATTGAAGTTGTGACTGAAGAGTAGTCTGTTGAGACCCCATTTGATTCGGCATCGTCGGATTCATATTACCAGCCATCTGAGACATGTTCGGGTTCCCACCGATCTGATTAGCTCCAAGTTGGTTCGGTTGTGAGTAGAGGAACTGCTGAGTAGCTTGGGGCTGAGCACCATTGTTTCCTAACGATTGCTGCGGCGGACCTTGTTGTTGCTGCTGTTGTTGTTGTCTCATCAACATTTGTTGCTGTTGTTGACGCATCCAAGCAGGCTGCTGTTGTTGTTGTTGTTGTTGCTGCTGCTGTTGTGGATTACCCATCATTTGTGGATGCTGTTGTTGTTGCATTTGAGGATGTGGCATTCCATGTTGATGACCCATTGCAACATTTTGTGTCCCCATACCACCTTTATACAGAAGGAAAGAAGAGAATTTAGTATTTAAAAACGATATGCAAAATAACCCAAGTCAACCAATTGACTTTGAAATTAATCATATAAGACCATACTTACCTGGGTGTTGAATTAAATTATGTTGAGGCTGTTGCTGTTGTTGATTCATCACCGGGGACATCATTGGTTGACCTGCTTGGCCTTGCTGCACATTCTGCTGTTGTTGTTGCTGCTGCTGCTGTTGCTGTTGTTGTTGCTGCTGCTGCTGTTGTTGCTGTTGTTGCTGTTGTTGACGATGCCGTATGAATGCAGTCATTAGTTGAGGGTTTGACTTGAGTATTTGTAAAACTTGTTGCTGTTGCTCTGGCGTGGCAGGAGATCGGAGAGTTTGGAGAAGTTGATGTAACAGCACTTGACCTTGACCGCCTTGATTAACTGGGCCTCCTTGCTGTGGTCCAACTGGTCTCACTTGCTGATTGGCCATGCTCATACCTAAAAAATGACAATGAGTAAATTAATTGCATTCGTTCATAAATTTTCATTCATTTATTAAATCTAGATTTATATTTGGCTTACCTTGTTGAGGTTGAGCTTGGTTTGGAGGTTGAGGCGAGTTTTGCTGTGGACCTTGCTGCTGCTGCTGTTGTTGTTGTTGCTGCTGCTGCTGTTGTTGCTGTTGCATCATCATATTGGCCTGTTGTGGTTGCATAGAGTTGTTCATGGGTCGGGCAGGAGACATTCCCGGATAGCGGTTTTGCATTTGGTCTATTCCCGGTAGACCGGGGTGCCGAACTTGTGGTTGTTGACCGACTGGCGCATTGGGCGGTCTTTGAGGACCTCGGAACCCAACGTTTGTAACCTGGTTTCCAGGAGAAGGCATCATGTGCTGTTGCTGTTGATGAGGAGGCGTTTGATGGTTGGGCTGAGTAGGAGGCACGACTGGAATTCCGGTGGGGGCAATTGCTTGCGCGTGCTGTCGAGCTACTTCTTCTTGTACTTGTCTGGCCGCCTTAAAAACATAAACAATGGTTTGTTATGCATAATTCCATAACTTATCAAGTTATTAGGATAGGTAATAAGTATGTATGTATTATAAGCGGGATTTTATTTCAGTTATACTATGAGTATGACATCAATTACTCTGTTAACTTACTTGTAAAGCTGCCAAAGGCGCTCCGCTCGCAGGCTTTCCTCCTCCCATTGATTGCATTCCAGGAGTCATAGGGCTTCCCATCGTCTACAATTTTTTCATTCAGCATAATTAGTAAACATGTTTAATTAATTAACGTGAATAACAATAGGTCGTACCTGAGGTACAGTTGGAGCTGGCCGAGGAGGTGCGGCTACAGCAGGGGTTGGTGTGGAAGGTGCTGCTGACCCTCCTCCTCCCATCATTTGCATCATTTGCATCCTGCGACGCAAAAGTTGATTTTGCTGGAGTCGCTGATGAGCTTGTTGTTGTTTCAACTTGTGCTTAATGTTGGCGCAGAAGGGGACGGTGCACTTGGTCTCGACACAGTGCTTCGCATGGAGGCAGCAGAGTGCGATGAGCTGCTTGCAGATTGGACAACCTCCATTGGTCTTTCGCTTACAGACCTAAAAGAGAAAGAGAGTCATGTAATAAGCTTATTATTTTTGTTACCCAAACATATACACACAAATACATAATTGCATATGTAAGTATAGTGTAGTAATTTGTATAAGATTTAATTACCTTGGCATGAGCAACAACTCGCTTCATTTTGTGGCACGATGGCAATCGACAGTTGGCATCTCGACATTGACAAGCATGAACAAGACTCTGGATACATCGCTGAATGGACAACTTTCTGGCTTCTTGTGGATTGGATTTGTTTTCAGGAGAAGAACTGGAACCGTCATCGAGGTCCAAGCCAAGTTTGTCCATTTTGTGAGGATGGCCAGCCTTCTGGTAACATCCAACACAGAGATCGAAATCGTCACAGACGGTACAGTGATATCTAGAAAATTCGAAAAACCGAGTCAGCTAATGCAGGAGAAGTGATTATATAACGTTTTCAACAGACATTTCGGCGTACCTCGTTTCCACGTGATTCTTGCAGTTGTTACAAGTATACACGAATCGGTCTTGTCCTTGGTTGTGAAGCTCGTACAACATCGACATGCTTGAATACTTTGCTCTTCGTAAAGACGAGAACTCGTAATGTTTATCACGAGCCATGGTTAAAAAGGCATCGCGACCATCCATTAAGTCACACTGGATAAATGGATCCGGATCTTGAATTGGCTAAAATAACGAAACGAAATTAACATTATTAGTTAAATACTTTACTTGAGGGTAATATAAGAAATGTCCGATCTGGCGATTTCTGACGATCATGAGTGACATTATTAAATGGAGAGATTTACTAAATGGCGTAAATTTATTAGAATTAAAATATAGTTACTAACTTTGAGCTCTTATATTGTGAACTACTCGTTGCAAAGACGTGCAATTTACAAGGATAAAATTTAAGTAAATGAAATAGATTATCAATTTGAATATAATTGGGGTACTTGCTTTTCAGAGAAATAAAAATTGTTTTCTTGTGGAATTCCACGCGTTAATTGATTTTAAATTTCAATATTCTTAAAAATCCCTTTTAGGAAGATAATAAGAAAGATAATTCTACTTGGCCGTGTGCTTGTCTTTGTCTTTCTCTCGTGGGATTCCACGCGTCACTAACATTAAGGAGCCCGCTGACAGTAAGAGGCGTGTTATACTTACAGTATGTAGATAGTGCAATTTGCATTTACGCTTATCAGAATGTAAATGACTTACCCCAAGAGAAGCCGCAGACTGAGCTGAATGAAGTCGTATGACAAAGAATACTTCCTTATGCTTTTCCATCGTTGCAAAGATTTTGGTGGACAAATCGTTCCCAGTCTGAGGTGCATTTGACTTTTTGTTGTTCTTACGCTGATTGGCTTTTGATTTGTTTGACTTTTTAGCCTTCTTCTGTCCCTTCTTCTTGCCATCCGCAGTAACTTCAACTTCCTCCTGAAATCAAAATAAGAAATGATTAGTGATAATTGAGGCTATGATTATCATTATAAAAAATTGCGACATTTACACTTACGCTGACACTCGTCGCGGCCGCTGCAGCGGCGGCGGCTTCGGCTGCTTCAGCCTGTCTTCGTTTTTCTTCTTCCTCTTGGTCCAACTCTTTGATTGATTCTTCTAAGACGTTGGGCCAAAAGTCTCCCTCAAAGTAAGGTAGTTCAGCTGCTGAGGCCAAGTTATCCTCCATCGCTTGTTTTAAAATGTCCTGAGAAAATTTAAATAATATATATTAGATACATAACAAAAATAACAAGAGCAGAATATTGGAGAGAGCAACTTACTTTATAGTCCAACACAATCCTCTCAATAATTCCCTTGTCCAACATCTTTTTGTACCATTCTTGTAACCGCTTGGGCTTTGGTATCTTCTGTTCTGGAGGGTGACAATGGAATATGTAGTCATCGCCTTCGGATGGAGGACATGCCCAAATATGAGCCATTGTGTAACCCAATTGCTTGACATATTCTAAATATCCTAGTAATATTTCATGATACACCGCAGTTCGGAATTGACGAGGCCTAAAAAAGTGAATCGAGTCGAGATAAGCAATGTACACTCTTCGCGTGTTGGGCGTCGGACATTCGGAGCCGTATTCTTGTACATGCATTCCAAAGAAGCACACGTCCGTTCCATCAATCTCTTCAAAGGCGAACAATGCCTTGGCTCTGTAATTTAGAAAAAACACATGCATTTTTATAGGATCAAGTAATGTGTAAAGATGCTTTTGAAAATTATAAATAGAGAGATAGGACATACTTGTAGGGAAACGTTTCGCATAGTTCTCCTATTTCTACGAAGCGACCCTTCATTCCAGCTTTCACTTCGACGATCTTTTCCGACGAGGAGACCACTCTTATGCAAACTTCGCCAGCTCCAGCTTCCTTTTTCTTCAAGAAGTTGTTCACTCTTGTTTCAATATAGGTTCCTAATTTGGTAGTTGGTAATCGTTTGGCCGTGAATTTGTTATCTTTACGTTTCGTATTTTTCGCTTTCAGACAATTATCACAAGTAAACCTGCAATCGCATCACACAAAACAATTACAATAAGTTCACAGAACCAAATTTTCTTAGCTTTTGAAAACTCTAATTGTTAGCAAATAACAACTCACCCTTGCGGCCATATACAATCCAAATGCAAGACGCATATTTGATGTAATTTTCTACCGCACTCCTGACATTCAACAAAGGGCTCTAACTCAAGATGGTCGTTCTTCATCTCAACAAACTGCTCCTTCTTGATAGAACTGATGATAACACATAATATAAAAATTAGACCTCTTCCTTAAGTCTAATATTTCATACAATATTTGTGTATCAAAATTATCAAACACTTACGCTTGCGCCGCTGTCGGATCATCGCCCAGATTAACTGTGTCGCCTGGAATCTCACTGAAACACTTCTGGCAATAGGTGTACCTACAGAATATAAAGAGTTGAAATAAACTATTAACTCCCAATGCCCATAAAAATAAAAATAAATGTTCCTGCTTACCTGTTTTGATACGAATAGTACTTAGCGTCTCTTGGAATCGTACACAATTGCTTCCCATAACAGCACAAGGTCTGAGGATTGAAGGTATATTTATGGCCACAACAATATCCCAAACTCTGCATGACTGGGTCGATTTCAGCCTCAAAGACTTCAGCTAACTGTTAAGTTGAATAAAATGAAAATATTAATACAAATCTATTTTATCTTTCTGGAATAAATATTTAATTGTTTTTTAAACAAAATCCTTACTTTTGTACAGTAGCGATATACTCTTGAGGTTTTACGATTGTAGAGCCACGCATTGTCAAACATTAGCCAAACGTCGTCCACGTATTCCCAGGGGTCAGTGTACTTTCCACTCTCCAGCTTTCTTCTGATGGTTGAGAGATCCATTGGTTTTTTTATTATGTCAAAATAGTCAGGAATACCCAAAGCCTAGAGATGTCAAGGTAATAATAATAATTATTAGTTCTACTTCTTCAAATTAGCACATGTTAATCTCCTTATCAACTTACCTGAGGGTCAACTGGCTGTTTGAAAGGCAAGGATTCAGGGTCTTGTCGATTAAGCTTTTCTAAACTTGGCAAAAGCGCTTCTTTCAACTGGACTTGATCAAACACTGCGTCAAATATAAAATCATTAATATTGAATACAAATTGCACTGCTTGCATATTAATTTGCATAAATAACTTACGGCACTTCTTCTTCTTATCGGATGAGGAATTGACTGAAGGTACAGGAGCGGGTGATGGGAGTGGATTTGTTGACGTTGCAGGGGTCGAGGGGGGTTCAGCCTTAGCAATTGATGTGTCCATTGATTCAGCCGTGCTCGTCGTAGACACCGGACTACACGTCTCTTCCTTGATCTCTTCTGAAATAATGAAATACAAGTTGAAAATCAGATAATCACTTGTCGCCACGCATCATCATCACCACGCTTCGAGATGCGTGGTGAGGTATCTCGGAATGTATTCCAACAACCAATCACGAATAAGCTGCCCAAGTAGGCAGGTGTCCCTTCAGCTGAGTTTACAGGGCTGCTTGTAACTAGTAATATAGATAAAGAAAATATATAGGGCTACTTACTTTTCACGGCTATTGGATGATCCACAGACATGGAAGAAGAGTCATCATTCTCAGACCTCTCAGCCGGATAAATCTCTCCGTTAGACTCGTGCTTCCCTTCCGACCTCTCCTCTTTCAAAGATATCGGAAGGTTTCGAATGTCTGGTTTCACATCATTGTCAAGTTGACTACTATCTGCTACCGAGCTGGGAGGTTGTGGCACAGACATCATCGCATCAAAGTCCCCGTTCATTGTTAAGCTACTATTGACTTGTCGCTGAGATTGTTGCGGAGTTGAAGGCTGGCTGGGTGATTGTTTCAGCATGTCGAAACCTCCACCACTACCACCACCACTCGTCAGGGATCCTTGTTGCTGCTGCTGCGACACTCCATGCGACTGATTTTGCTGGTGTGGAAACATGGAAAAGGGCGTAGATGAGGGGCCGTTATTGGTAGACATCAAATTACTATTGGGTGAAGGTTGCGGTTGCGAGAGGGTGTTATTATTTCCAGACGTTGGAATGGGCAGAGAAGATGGTAGCGTAGGCATGGGCAATCGGTTTATATTATTTGGGTTTGAATTTCGAATCGCCGCCGATTGTGGAGGGACGTTCGGAGGACGTGACATTGCCTGACCGCCTGGTGGGATGGTCGGTCTTACGTTTGGCTGCTGTGGTTGGCTCGCCTGAGCGGCTTGCAGTTCTTTGCGCCTTTGTCTCTTTTCTTCCAACTCTTTCTGGATCTTGTAGATTTTCTCTGCCAAGAAGTGATAGTATTCGGATCTTGAGCTCGCCATTTCGTACATGTCACCCTCAACCTTCTTAGCGTAAGCGACCAGATTGCACATTCGCCTGTCGAGCATAGCAGCCGGGTCGGGAGATGGAAATATTGCTTGTACCCTAAAAAAATAATGGCCAGACAAAATTTGTAAACAATGCAATCCTTTGAATTCGTAATACTTTCTACAATATGCAAAAACTAAGCAAGTGAGAAAATGAGTCGTCCTTACAGTTTATGAACCAGGTGATTCCTGAGATCCGGATTAATGGACTGGTGCCACTCCTTTGTTCCTTGGACAGGGGCCGCAGTGATACCAGAAGTACTCGTGGCTGGATGGACGCCTTGTCCGTCCAGTCCCAATACAGCATTTGGGTTACCCCCGAGGGGAAACAACGATGGAGAGTTTGCACTGGAGTCCCCAACGCTTGGGGGTTGAGGCGAAGCAGATGGAAGTCTTGGCGAGGGTGCTGACTGTGCCACGGGGGTGGGTTGAGGGGGTTGTTGCTGTTGCTGTTGTTGCTGCTGCTGCTGTTGTTGTTGCTGCTGCTGTTGCTGTTGTTGTTGCTGTGGGGGTACTTGAGGGCGAAGCGGTGGTCTAAGTGGTTGGGCTGTACCAACATTAGTACTTCCAATTGGTGGACATGGGATCCCTGCAAACCCGAGACAGAAATTAACTAATCATCAGTATCAAATATCAAAACCACTAAAATAACAAGACGGATAAGTGAGGAATGAAATGGTTGATGATGGAAATGTTCCAAGAGACATGAGGATTGAGACATTATGATAAAAACGAATATATGTAACTCAAGTCTAAACTAGGAATAGTTTATGTGCTACTTGGATAAGAAGTGTGTATGTACTTTGTAAACAAGTACTTGTAGTTGTATATTTTTCTACATAGTCATTTCACCCAGTCAGATATGGTACCATCACACCCCATCATTTTAAATCCAAGTATTAGCGGGAGGCGGAAGGTAGAGGTTTCTGCTTCTGCTTGCCTCGTGCAAGGCAGCCGAGCAAGAAGAGGATCGATGTTGCAAGGAGCGAGAGAAGCTGGACTTCGTAGGGAGACAGGTAGCTTGACCAAAAGGGTACCACTACCTGTCACTGTAAACTGATAGGCAGGAGGAGGAGGAGGATGGTGGGTGTGGTTTACTATCAACTAAGCGAAAATAATAAGAAGAACATTGACAAGCTCTTACCCAGTGCATCATAAGCCCGGCGCACTTCTGAGGATGGGAGTGCCGAAGCAGCCGTTGCTGCAGGATTATTTTGAGGTTGTGGTGCTCCTGATACTTGGGGTACTTGATTAGGCTGACTTGGATTGACTCGATTGCGGTCAGCTTGTTTGAGCGGAAGGCAGACAGGACAGTCGGATCGCGTACAATGTTTCCAATGCGATATGATTTGACGAGAGGATGAACAGTGAGTGACCGTGCAAGCTCTTCCGGCCTGGCAGTGAGTCATGTGCGTCAACACATTCTTCATGGTCCGGCAATGCGGAAGGGCACACTGGAAAATTAACAACTTGGTCAGTAAGTTCATATTTTTTTGACAATACAAACGAATAATATATAAAGATAAGAACTTTGCTTCTGCACGGAACGACTGAGGGTCATTTTTTAGTATTGTGTGCATTTTAGGCTCATAAATTAAACTTTTATGCATGCAAGATCATTTTTTTCTTCACACGGTCATAATGCAATGGTGGTTCTTTAGTTAAACAGGGAGAAGGGGAGAAAGATAGCAAGCAATAATAATAAATCATTCATCTTACATCTTTTGGTCTCGTTTCACCATTTGCAGCCTGACTTTCCCGTCTCTGACACTTGTGTGCATGCAGGAGCAGGACAAGTTGTTGTTGGATGAGTTTTCGCTTTTCCGGATCTGCATTTGCCGGTTGAGATTGCTGAAGAGTTTGTTGTTGATTATTATTGACTGGTAGTTGCAAAACATTGTTGATAGGCTGTTGTGGAACGACTTGGTTCTGAGCGTTGACCCCAGTTTGCATCATAGGAATACCATTATTGACGGTGTTTGGAGTCATTGAAGCGCTGGGGGTCGTGTTGACCATGGTGTTTGTAGCCATTGACGGGATACCAGAAGGGACACCACCACCACCACTTAACTGAGAAGGTTGCTGACCAGGGGGCATTGCAGATGAGACGACCACGTTTGGGGGTGGGTTAGGGATAAAGTCGTCTACAGGATATCTTGGAGGAGGCTGCATTGGTGGAGCTTGGTTCATTCCCGGCTGTGGCTGCAACATTCGTTGTATTGCTCCCTGTTGGCCCCCACCACTAAAGTTGTAGGACATATTCATGTTGGGAGCCTGGACAGAATTAAAAAAGAGGATCGTTCTTATTTTCATGACATGAGCAATAATTAGTACAAGAAAGAAACTCGTAAAAGAAACAGGAAAAACTTACCTGGTGACGTTGGCCCATGTTCGGCGATAGATTATTGGTTTGAGCCCTAATACCTCGTTGCATTAATGGACCGTTGGGAACCATCTTCCCCATTATCATGTTGTTATTCATAGCTGGTTGCTTATTAAGGATTACATTCTTAGCTCCACCAGGACCAGGAATCATCATCCCCTAAAAAAATAGAAAAGATTAGCATATTTAGCACACTCGCTTGTTATTCACAAATCCTCCACAATAATCTCTCAACTTGTCGAAAAATAGGATTATCATCATCACGGCAAGACTTACCCGAATAAGTTGATGTTGTGGCGGATGAGGCTGAGATTCTCCATTTTGCATGGGGAACTTTGCCTGTGGGGGATTTTGTACATTCTGCGACGACCCCATCATAATATTTTGTTGCTGCGGAGCTTGGGGTGCCTGTGCTTGATTTGAAGCAATGTTTGTATCCAAGTTTGGCCATGAATTCGGAAGTAAATCCAATTCATCGGGAAGATGCTTCTCTAAGTCGAAATCAGTCCGGAACACGTCTGCAAAGATAGAAAAGAAACACAAAGGATGAAACATCGTGGCGAAATTTGGCATAAAGTTTCAAAACCATAAAAATCTCTCATTTATCATTATAAATCTAAACGAATCTTAATAAAGCTTGAAAAAGACGTGCTGCAAACACAAAACTAACTTTAAATCGAAACTTGTTACTATATTTGAAAATTTGAATTCATAAAAACATCACGTGTAAATATTTACGTCATTTTAACGTTTTTACAAAAAATCTTCCCCTGAATTACAATCAATCAAACAAACTCCGACACACCGGTGTCGGAAAACTATAAAAAAGCAACAATTTTTCTAAACTGCTCGAAACAATCGCTTCATATTCACTTGTCCTTTTCACACATGGCTCGCTTGACGCTGACCTTGTCAACATCAAGCCACCGGTTCAAGTGACATTGTCCATTGCACAATTTTCCGACCCCAAACATGTGCTTATCTAACCCAAAAAATTTACTCTCTCCACAGAAAACAACTTTCACCGCGGGCGAATCATCTATTTACCTGAGCCGGGGTTATCATTTGGCGACGTTAACGTATCATTCAGCCTGGGCCGCTTGTTAGGCGGCCCATCAATGGGATCAGCCATTTCTCACTTAAAACACATGACCTGTCGTCACCCACCGTGAAGACGATTTATTTAATACTTTGCAAGTATAAATAACTGACGAACTGCTACAGGACACTTGGTCGAAGTCGAAATTATCCACGTATGAAGAACATAAACGTTTTTCATCTCCCATTTAGCACCATGATCACATGGTCTCTAATGGAAATAAGAAAATGATGATAACCACTAAAAAAACACTTATATTTTTCACAAGTTAACTATACTTTTTCCAAAACTTATTCCCCTCTTATTTTTTTTATTAAGGAACACCTCGACTTAAGAAAATTATTTTTCTCCCTCCCTACTGCTCCTCCTCCCCCTCATCGGCATGATAACTTGGTGGGATAAGGTCGTACCAGAATTTTTTTTATACTTTTCATCCCTCTTCATAAAATGACTTGGACTTTATTATTTTTGTTTTACTCTCTTTACAGTGTCATTTATACGGATTGGGATTTACTACAGTGTTGGGGTAGAGAGGCTATTTACTCTCTGGTTAAAGAAGAATTTGCCACTTAAACAACCACGAAAGGGAAAACAAATGTAGACAAAACTTTCTGGGAGGACAGCCGCGCCCACTTTCGCCCCACTTATCGTCTTAAGACCAACTTTAGGCAAAAATGTAAGGGTCGTCGGGCCCGAAAATTTCCAGAAATATTGTAAAAAACGTTTGCAAATTCTCACAACAATTAGACTGACTACTTCGGGCCAAAAAACCAAAATGGCGTATGTAAAGACTCTTTCTTAGCCTCGCTTGGAACCAGTGTTGGGATTGGCCAGGTGTTCAGAATCGGCCCCTGGTTGCAACTCGCCTGCTTATTCGCTTCTCCGAACGGGAAGCCCAATCACAACGCGGCAAACGCCACCCTCACGGCGTGCGTGCCAATGGCATCGGCATGTTGGCAGGTTCCCTCCACCTTCTCCACCTTATCCGCGCCACGTCGCCCTTCAGCTCGCAAGGCATGCCCAGCTTGGGGCATGGGCATCGTGTAAATTCTGTCGTGACGAGAGAGATCGTCACCCCAGGAGAAACTTTGCCCCCTGAGGGAACCTCCGTAGATTGTGTGGTGGCTTCATCCCCAAAATTCTCCGGGAACAGGGGCCCCCTCAATCTTCTCGCGGGGCAGAGGTCAATGACCTTCCCTTCTCCGAGGGAACTGGGACCCCACCGCGGTCGAGAATCATGTCCCTTTGTAAAAGTCCACACTTACTGCACGACTACACTCGGTATTCACCAACTAAACCAATGTCATGGTCCTCCGTACCACAAGAGACGTAAGATCAAGTAACTTTTAGTGAGACGTCTTCCTCCCCCGGCGGCGGAAGGCAGCAAGAAGCGCGAGGAAAGTGAAATACCTGGAGGGAGGGGGGAAGGAAGAAGATGACGACGGGGGACGGTTTTCCGGGGGGATGAAGAAGCCGGAGGGAGGACGAAGACGACAACGACAACGCCGGTTGGATGGGGCCTCCCTCCTCGCTGGCTGGAAGACTGACGAACTGACTCCTCTCCGTGCGGAGACGTGTCAGTTACTGCTGCGACGACTAAAAGTTTAGTACATCCATCATCACCATCATTACGAAGGTTACGAAAGGAGGAGGAGGTGTACGAAAAAACTTTACATTTTGAGAAAAATTCTTCAGCCTCAGCCTCGCTCCTCGTGTTGAGGCGAAGAATCTCATCTCGTCCGATCAAATGAATGACATTCTTGACATTCTTGTCAATATTATCTTGTGCATAATTTAATATGACAATTTACATGTCTCAACATTTTGCTACTTATCCACCACGTGTAGTGTATGTATAAATAATTAGCATATTATTAGCAATGTAGGAGAGAAAGTTTGCCCGTTAAATAAAAGGAAGAATGAATTGCATAATAATAATAATATTTATCTCACCACGACGACCACCACCGTCGTGTCACTTTTGGTTTCTATTTATTACAGAAAACATAAACATGACAGTGACTGAGACCCCGTTTTTATGACTTGGTTTTCTTTCATGAAAGTCGATGTGTACGTGCTGTATTGTTGTTTATTTATTATTCACTTGCTAATAATAAGAATAACGGGTCGGCGAGTTCATTCAATTATTTATGCATTATTTACACAAGTTGTTCCCATACAGTGGGCAGACACCACATTTTACGACATGTGCGAATTTCCACGTATTATAATAATGCTCCTCTTGTCGTCAGTTTAGCGATGCAATGTGAGAATAAAGGAGTGACAAAGAAGAAACGGTTCGGGGCAGGGTCAGATTATTCTCAATTTTTCCATGCAATATGTTTTTTTAGATTAATAATTTTAAGAAACGATATCGTTTTTGAATAACAAAAATAATTTGTGATGCATTTTTTAGTGACATCTATTTTGTTTTTTCGATTTCTAAAATTTTCGCTGAAGATGATATTGAAAATTTGGAATAAATATATCTGCATTAAAACAATCATGTCGTTCGATAACTCGGATTCTCATATTTTAGTATTTTTTTAGTGCCAATAATGGTGACGATAAGGTTTCAACAACAATAATTATTTATTGATCAGTTATGTTCAATACATAAATAGGTAACAATGTATGTAAATGTGTGTGTAAGTCATTCTAATAATAATTATAAAGCCGGATTTCGCATCGTATTTACTTAGAACTATTTTTATAGTCGTGGACTTTGTTGGTTGGTTTGATAGCATCCACGTCATATTTTTTTAAGATCGTACATATCTCATCAAGTTTAATATAGTAAAAATAATAGGATTTTTCATAATTTATATAAGCGACAGAGTCAAATCGTCAAAATATTGGTATCAATTAGCATACAAATTGTTTGTTTAAAGCTTCCCCTCAATTTCCATCGGTTCCACATGGACCAAACACATCCTCATCATTTCCACTTTCAGCATTGTCCAAATAACTGGTAGATTTCGCTTTTGACTCCACCCCAGTCCGATTTATGGCCATGAGGGGTTTAATCGCGGTCCGGAGGCTGAGGAATAATTTCGGGAATAAAATCTCCTGATGGGCAAGAAGTTGTTTGATTCGGTGTCGCTCTGTCGGTGCTTCGAAACATGCGGGACAATTTTCCGGGATGATTGGTAATCCACGAGATTCAGCAAATTCTCTTAAGCTCTTTTCACGAACGTAGACGAAGGGTCGGATGATTCGAAGGTCTCCGTCCCTGCGAATAATTTAGATTTTATTATATTATATTCTAGACGTACGCATATTAATTTATGTATGTAAATATTTACTTGTTGGTGTAAGAGGCTTTCATTGTTCGAAGGAGGCCATTGTGGAATACTGACATCATAAAACTTTCCGCCAGGTCGTCCAAGTGTTGACCTGCACACAATGAAAGTTACAAATAATTACTCAATTTAATTGCTTGTTTAAAATGATTGTTTATACGTACCAAATGCCAGCACATTGTACCCATTCGCACGCGCCGTGGCATAGATTCGTCCTCTTTTCATTCGGCTGCAATAGCTACAAATGGAAGAGACGGTGCCCTTATCCATGGCGGCGTCCATGATGGCCTGCTCCTCGTAAAAGTAGGGAACGTCGAGCAACTTCAAGTACGGAATGAGTGGTCTGGGGTTGAAGCCGGGATGCTTGGGGTCAACGGTGATAGCTCCGAAGGAGAACTTGATGCCCTCCTTGGCCAGAACGTACTGAGCTTGGCGCATGCAGTGGAGCAGTGACAGCGAGTCCTTCCCACCGCTGAGGCAAACTAGTACTTTGTCGCCATTCTTGATCATGGAGTATTCTCGGAACGCCTATTTTAAACAAGAATACAATTAATATTAGTTAATTGACGATTGTTTAGCTAGTAATTTATATCATAATTTTACCTCCAAAGCCGGCTTGAAAACGTTTTTCGGAGGACAATGCCATTTAGATGATTTTGACCCTTCCACCATGGATTTGACCATTTTCTCTTCTGAAGCTGCATGAGCAGTCGGGTTGCAAGTTACACAGCTACTTGACGACTTCTTATCAGACTTTCCTTCTTCCTCCACTCCGGAATCCGAGTTGACGACTTTCTCCTCCACGTCAACTTTCTTCTTCACTTCCAGGTCATGCTGTTTGTCCAGCGCATTACTGATTGATTGACCACTCAACGTTCTCGTTCGTCGTTTCAAACTTTCGATTTTTCTATCCTTGAACGTAAAGCTGTTTGCTCGTTCTCTGAGCCCGTTCTCGATTCCTTGTTCCACTTGCGACACGAGGCCACGAATTTCCGACTTCAATTCACTAGCAATTTGATCTGTAACTCGGCGCATCGCATTTTGCACGATCTGCTCACTCACGGAAGGCTCGGAGGAGGGTGGGGTTGCGGAAAGTGGTTTCATTGGTATGATGGACCCCACAGTCGGGGAAAATAGTGGGGTGCCATTATTACTTCCGTAGTTTTGCTGCGGGCTCATTACTGGAGTGTAGACACCGAGTGAATCCGTGCACGTCTGGTATGGAATGGGACTCGCGGACATGGCTGGACTTGAGATGTTATTATTACTGAAACATTCCGGCGCCGAGTTGTACTGACTGTCTAAGCTGTGCTGAGATTGGAAATTCTGGAAACAAGGGCTATTGCAGGGAACGGGGAGACTCGAAGGGGGTATCGGACTTCCCACTACGATTGGAGATTGGTGATAAATTGTTGAATCAACGACGTTCCCATTCATATTCACGAATTGTTGTTGGGGGGCGTCATACGGCAAGGGCGTCATGCTCGTTGGAGGAATTGGAGAATAGCTCGTGTTTGAATTCACGTGGTAATTGTTAATCCCGTCGCCATACATTAAATGGTTGTTGTTAATCATTAAGGGCGATGTGGTGATTGTCCCCTGATTATTGTGTGGAAATGAGAACACGGTTGGGTCCGGTTGTCCGATTGAGTTGTATGAAAGTGGAGCCGTATTCGGTGTCGTGTTGTAATAGTTATTAATCTCAGATCCTGCCACCACTTGACCATTGATCGGTATGCTGGAAATCATTTGCTGGCTTTGTGGTATCGAGCAATTCGCATCTTCCGCAGTTTGAGTCAGTGTTGCACACAAGCTTGAAGAAGGTGTCTGTGTCGCGTGACTTTCCATCTCGGGAGCTGCGGCACGATTTGTTGCTGTCCTTCTTATCTTCACATCGCTTTCGTACACCGTTTTGGACTCCCCCATCGCAAAGCAGATTGAAGGACCGGTTACTGTCGTTCCCAAATAAGCGGCAGACACGAGTAGCTCGTTCTCTTCGGAATCTTCATAATCTACAGAGCTAGGCAGGTAGTGGTTGTTCACGCTGGTCGTGCCGTCCCCCAGCTCGGCAGAATCCAGGTCGATGGTCGCGTGGGGCAAAGAGTTGAGATTAATTTGTTCATCGTACCACGACGACTGCATTATTTGAGAGGGGACTGAGCCCTCCAAGTAGTTAGTTTCTCGCGTTTCTCGCTCCTTGTAAACTTTTGGGGTGAATGGTTTCGGGGATTTTAGTGTGTTACTGGTTCCTCCTCCTCCCCCCGAAGGATCCACGATAGGCATAGCCTCCGACGGCAGTATGAACCACCGGAGGTTCGCCGCACTAGTTTCGTTGTAGAGGAGTGATTGGTCGGCCAGCTTTCTCCGTTTGCACAACTATGCAAATACAATAGAACAATGCATATTATCAACACGACATGAATAGTAATAAGGACAAAACATCCTTTAGGTAATCAATTATTATTATGTTCTACATACATCGTACGCATTGTCAAAAAGTGTTTTGGCTTGCTGCAAACAATCCTTGAAATTAGGATAGTCCTCACTATTGTTCCTTGTCCGCTCCTTGTAACGAATCCCTTCAGCATCAAAAGTTCCCCAACTCAACCATTTGCGATGATGGAAAATCTAGAAAGAAATTAACAAAAATTGATAACTTGAATTGACAACTGCCGACCGATGATGAATCCTTACATGATTTGCATGATGGTGAAACTCCCCGGTTTCCGGGTTGCAATTATACAATGGCAAAAGTTTATATCCTGCAATTAAGAAACAATTCTTTTTAAGTAGGTTATTTTTCTTCTTGAGAATACACAACATGCGGATGTTTACACTTACCATGTCGCGCAATAAGTTGGACGGCTTCAATCAGGTATTCTACGTCTTGAGTGGATGCATGGAATGGGACAGAAACGCGGACAAAACCAGGTCGAAATACTTCATAGTTTGATCCCTATAAAAGGTCAACGACATTAGAATTTAGACCCATCCAATTTGTTCAGGATAAAACCGTGTTCAATTATTAAATAAACTATAAACTTATACCTCCATGTAAAGATCTCTACGAAGATGCACCCGATCAAGGCGGCTAAAAAATTAAAGGAAACAACAATTATTAACATGCACAATTGTGGTTGAATAGTTTGTAAGCAACGTTTGCAAATTGTTACCTGTCTTCAAGAAGGAGGTCTTCATACTTTCGGGCCAAAGTAGAATCAATGCCTAAAAGAGATTGTCCATACGGTCCTGCACAAGCACATCCGCCTCTTGATTGGATTCCAAACAAGTCGTTCAACAATGCTACCACGAAGTTGTGGTGCAAATAGTAGCCCTATAGGTACAAAAATCAGTAATCGAGCTACTTATAGAGCATAACAATACAAACAAATACTTACGCTGGCCAAATGTTCAATGAGGAAGGAAATTATTCCCAGCCGAGGTTCAGTCTTGCTCCCTAGAATTTTAATCTCTTCAAACTTGGCCCACTCCGATAGGATTTTTCTACACAATCAAAAACAAAATTAAGCGATTAGCGAGATGTCTAAAAATCTTGTTCCTATAAAAATCCATACTTTGTAAAGACAGCTTCTCGATAAATAATACTGTGAGATCCAATCGTATCCTTTAAACGGAAGACAAGACCGAGTCGGATTGACTCAACGATGGCTGGAGTCCCACCTTCTTCACGATATTCAGTATTCTGTAAACATAAATAATGATACCAATTTCACACAGTTTTCATCAAGTCGTCGAATAATGCATATGTGTATTATGTATATCCGAACCTGTAAGTATCGATGAGAATCCTGCGTCACAAAAAAGACACTCCCTCCACCACCCCCGTTGGGAAGGGAACTGTCGAAAATGCTCTTTTTTGCCACCAAGACGCCTAATTCATAATTTAGAAAAAATAATTATTTCCCATGTTTAAACAAGTAACCGGAAAACTCAAGCTCAACAGTAACTCAATTTTCAGAATAAGAACCGAAATTACCCGGTGTCTGCGGTCCTCCAATAAATTTATGCCCAGAAAAGAAAATGGCATCTTTCTTTCCCATGCCTTCCTTATTATGATCCAGGACGACAGGATTCATAGCAATCTTGACGTGTGGGGCGGCTGCGGAGTAGTCCCAAAATGCCAAACCTCCATACTTATGCATTAGCACGGTAACTGCAACATCGTCCGTGAGACAGCCGGTAATATTGGACGCCACAGAAAAGTTTCCTAACATTTGTAAAAATTTAGCATTTCCCTTTTTTAAGACACCAGACAATTCACTTCAGAATTTAATCTCATACCGATCAAAAGTCGTCCTTCCAGCTTTTCCGCAACCGCTTCTTGAAGTTTCTCTTCAAGCACGTCAACATCCAGGATTCCATTCGTGCTCTCCGGAATGCACACGACCTGCTCAAACAGAAATTGATTATCACTCTGATTAAGACACGTCAGCAATTTTCGTTTTCCTGCCAAAACTGTAAAGTTCGTGCACCCATTCATTCATTCCATTACAATCAAGTAAATAACCAACCTTTGCACCCGCATCCTTCCACGGAATAAAACTGCTGTGATGCTCAAACGGACCCACAAACACGACCGGTGGTGGTCTCTTCTTGTTATTTTCCCCCATGACAGCTTGCACCAATTTATGGACGGCTCCGGTACACCCGAATCCGCAAAAGATAACTACGTCGTGCTCCGAAGCTCCCACAGAATTTCGCACAATGTCTTTGGCTTCTTGCCTAATAAACAGAAGATTAGAGCAATTACAGATTAAAAGAAAAAAACGGTTGCATTTCAGTCTTCCGGAATTTTGTGTGATTCCCGAAATGAAATCGTGATTCATGAAAAACAAGATAATCTTCCTTCTCCACCCACCTGAACATGGTCGTCTGGGACGAAGTGATGGTGCTGGTGGTGTGCGTATTTCCATAATACGGAAGCACAACATCTCGAACAAAGTCCTCTATGCATCTGAGTGGCTGTCCGGATGCGGTGTGGTCCAAATATACGCCTGCGGATTATACAATACAGATATTTCATAATAAAACTCCCAAGTCTCAAGGGCGACATATGTACGAGAACCCAAACAAAAACAACAACAACACCACCATGGCCAGAAATAAAGCCTCATTATTCAAATATTCATCGTATTTTTCAATCAATACAAAAATTACTACGCAGATACGTGGTTATCAAATCATGTCATGATATTATAGTTCCAGTCTTGGCGTCTCTTCTGATAATTTCAGATTTCATTACAGACTGACACATGAGAAACCTTACATCCTGCTTCTTCTTGAATATGAATTGGACACATTCCAAAGTCATGAGTGAGACTACTCGAAATCAATCACGCATCTCATATTTTTCATTCTCACGCCAAGAAATGGATTGAATCCGCTCGCTACTTAATTATTGGTGGCCTAATGGACTCTGGAGTAACTGGAGAAGATCTCTGTCCACCAACCAACCAAGTTCAACCAAACAAAACAAACGGACGGATATTATTATTAATGAAATGAATGAAACCTGACCTCAGCTTTGTCATGTCATGAGATTCTAATACGCAATTGCACGTACACACTAAAATTTCTCTGCTTGCGTAATTGGAAGAAAACAGGAGACAGCAAAATGGTCCATTGTTCTCAAAGTACTTGGACTAATAATTATTTACGATGTGTCGTACGTAATCTACATCGGATTCCGGTTACAAGTCATATTTTGAATTCTTTGTGCAGGAAGCCATATTTACAAACTACCCGAAGGAAGTGCTACACACAAACTTATTATTATGTGTCCATCGTCATTATTATGTACGAATTCCGTCTCAATTCTGTTCTCACACAAAATGAAATGATGTCACGTTGACTGGCATGACATTCACCCCTTGCTCGTAAATCTTGTTATTGATCACTCACTCCTTTTCACAATTAAAAGATAAGTAAATACACTTATGGATTCATTTTCTTGATTTAGATTTACGACAACGACGACCAATATACATCCATAAATATCTCGCCTGAGTGAAACAAAATATGCGAAATTGCTGAGATAATGAGAGCACATAAATTTAATTTAACCTCCTTTACAATTAAGTACGAACCAACATGATGAGAGTTGGGCTGACTAACTAAAATTAGAGTCACACTAACTAAATAAATACTGTATACTCACTTATGCAACGTATCAATTTACATGCGACATTCCAATAATATTCAGCGAAGAAGATTGACCGTAAGTAGAGTGAAGTGTATGTATCCTGATTTAACTTACTTATCATAAATAACTTATCGTAAATTAAATGAATGACTTATTTAATTATATAATTTGATTACTTGCTAACTGTCTATCTAATGCCATTAATTAAGGTATACAAATTTCTTTGAAAACTTACTACGTCGTGGTCCAAATGGTCCTTGGAACACGGTTTCCCGTCCGATTATATTCCGATCCACCATTTCCACCAGTTCGCGTGTGCTTCCACGAAATAGGGCATTTTTCGAGCGATACTTTTTCGAATTCTTGACCGTACTTGAGTTGTTACTCATTGTCGTAGAAGATGACTCATCCCCACCACCACCGCAAATTTCAGGGGAGGATGCGGAGTCTGGAATCTGGTAAAATTTCCGATTTCCAAACTGTTTGCATGACATTGTCACTCCTGCCTCGTCCCGATGAGACGGATGATTCAGACTGGTGTGAAAGCAGGTGAAAGTTGGAGGTAAAATAAGTTGCCGAGCATAAACGGCGGCCAAATGAGACAATTTCTTCAGCGTGGAGGACAGTTTAGGTCTTATCTTCAGTTCAGTTCACTAGTGGAGTTGGCCTCCTGTCCAGAAAAAAGTAAGAATAATCACACCACATGTTTACTCAGAGTCTTAGGTCCAAAAGGGTTGAGACAATTTGAGACAACTTATTACGCGATAATTATAGTAATTTTCATTTTATCCCGTCACTCAACTCCCTCATTTCTCCCGTCATGTGTCGAAAGTCTACTAATTTTAAGTGCTGCTGTCGTGTTAACAATTTTTATCCTTATCCAAATTATGTCATGTTTCGGAAAACAAGGAAAACTCATTCAGATAATAATGCCCCGAATTTATTGTTTAAAAATCAGTAATTTGGAATGGTTTTTTCTTTAAACACTTGAAAATAATCGATACTTGACTCCACACTACATTGATATTCACCAACTAACTAACTAACCACTCTGTCCCTAGAGCAAAACTGACTCCGCAACGCTTCATCTGTGCCAAATAAAAGCGAACCAGCACTTTATACGCTTTATGTACATACATAAGATTTGCCCCATACACGATCTTCGTACATATATCTTGAAGACGTTGTTCTGCTAAATACCACACCACCACCTCCTCCTCCTCCTTTCTTTAGGCATATAATAAAATAGCCCCACTGCTGCTGCACTTCTGGAAGCAAAGCAAAGTGTGAATGGGTCGTGGTGCGAGACATATATTACGTATTATACATATGTATGAGATGAGATGAGACAGCGTATGTACGTACGTCTGTAGAAGATCATACCTTTATATCAAAGACTGGACCACGAAGAAGACGACGGCGACGAGGTGATCCATCTCTATACCTACTTTTACTTATTACTTATGCACTATTACGATGGCTTTAGCACTATATGTTCTGGTCTCAAAAAGTCAAGAGTATCGTCTCAAGTAAGAATTTAAAGCTGCTTATCCTCCTCCAAGTTCAATTGGAAATGGAAAATACTTGAAAGTATGTATGTACTTATGTACGTTGTTCTTTAATCCTGTACATATAGCGTTGCAATGCCGCGCATATCAATGTATTTACAGAGTTCATTTATCTATCAGCTTGTGATTAAGCTTCTTCATCAAATATGCCGGCTCTGCATACAAACAGACAAACAGCATTGTGATGTATGCCCATCCATTCGCAAAAAAAAGAAGTTAATACAGAATCAATCCGACCCATCCGAATCCGATTCATGGGTTCTTATTCAGTTATGCATGCCTGCATGTACAGTGGTCGTATCATGTATGTATGTACATATTTACTTAGTTTGAGTGCAAGCAGCCATTTATATAATTGTTTCTCATTTGCATATACATATTCATGCAATCTGGTCCGTATGTATTTCAATCGGTGATGTTGATGTTGTTTGTTGTGCATACGTCAAATGAAAACAGGATCCATGACATAATGGCAAATGCAAAAAATAAATAAGTCAAGCATACATAATAGTGCTAAACGTGCACATTTTCCTATCTCTGAAGCACAGTGGCCACGGAAGGTGCTGTGGGGACGTTAACATTGTAGGATGGGGGAGGGCCGGGTTTATATAAGATGGAGAGATGATGCCGACATCGAACAACCGTGGGGACATTGTCCTTCCGCGGTCACTGCTGAAACCAACCACGTTTTTTCTACCTATTTATCTACCTACTTTGAACACACTATTGAACAACTCTCGACTGGAAAATGGTGTGTGTTTTCATTTTTTTTAAATTCTTTTGTGATTTGTAGTGTTTCCTCGTGTCATTATCGTCCTCATCTATGTTCGTATTGTGCTGATGGATGCGGGATGCGGTAGGTAATTAACGAACGAACAGTGGCAGCGGAAGAGTGTGAGGACAGAGGACAATGTCCCCGCGGTTGCTCAATGTCCGCATCATCTCCCCATCTTATATAAACCCGGCACTCCCATGCCATTGTCCCCACAGCGTCCGCTGCCACTGCTGCAAACGAACCTTTATCTACCAAACAGTATAATACTCTTATTTTTCCATAGCTCACAAAAATTTTGCCTACTTGTTGCCCTGAATGTAAAGCAGGATAGGAATTTATTCCATCCGATGATTCCATTACGATTCCAAATCTTCCTCCTCCTCAGCATAATTAATACGTAGCAAAACACATTATCCTTCAATCTTCTGCTCCCTTTCTCAATTACGTAATTAATTAACAATACAAATTTCTTGGAAGTATTTAACCACCAACAAAGGAGGCAATCAACAATAAAGTGTTTACATATAACCAGCACACATTGTTAGAGACCATTAATCGTCTAATTAGGCAACCTGAGTCTCTAAACGTGTTTATGCTTCGCCTCCAACAATTGCAAAGTACATAAAACTGCACTCTACCTAATTGTGCAGTTAGTTAGTTAAAACATTATCATAATTTTTACCAACTCACATTTGCACCAAATTTCATTCAACGGCTCAAACTTGGAGGCCATCATTAGGCACGCAAGCAAACAAGCTGGGCCTTCTCCAAAATATATTTACATATGATGACTCCCGACTTTGCAAAAAGATTTGCAAAAAAATATAAATTCGTTGCGAAACTGAAATGCGCCGTATAGATAAATATATTTCTGCTCTTTCTTTCTTTCTGTGCATGTATCCGACCGAGAAGCGACCCACATGGCAACTTTTACCAATTTCTGCCATCACCACCACCACGAGTAAACTTTGCCCCGTCAAAAGAACTATTTTGCATGTATCGTGACCCAAATAACTCTGAGCTGGATAGAGAGAAAGGCTTAAACATTTTGCAATTGTATTATACGAGGAGGATAAAAAAATATGTCAACATTTTTGCAAATACTGCCATAAACTGGATGATGGTACAATACAATGATATGCAGATTATTTCATGAGTCAACTGACTTTTGCTCCTCACCCTCCTTGTATTTTTGTGAGACGGTCATTATACACATTTTTTTGAGACTTTGAGACGAAAAGTACACACACAAGGTTGCTCAACAGTTAAGAGACACGTGTAGAATAACTATGTTTGAACATACAGTGGCCGCGGAGGGGACAGAGGGACAATGTCCCCAGGGTTGTTTGATGTCGGCATCATCTCCCCATCGTATATAAACCCGGCCCTCCTACAAGGTTAATGTCCCCACGGCTTCCGCGGCCACTGTTACATATGTGTATGCTAGACATTTCCATTTAAAATCAGCATTTTTTTTGTTAACCGATCCCTCAATCTTTCTGTCATCAGCCAGCCTTTCCCAAAATCTGTTTAATTCGGAGTGAAGAAATAAACAATTAAATCAGAGATCCTTCTTCTTTGCATGCTATTCTATTTGTTTGCTCAAGTTGCCTCCTGTCTCGCAATTCTTTCGCAAGTTATTCCGAGAGAGAGAATTGAGACCGATGAGTCTCGCAAAATGAGACGGGCTATTTTTACAGGAAGATTTTACACGCTATGATTGTTTACTCATTCATGTTCTATAGCTTTAAAGGCTTTCTTAAATAGTTGGGAATAATAAACCTAATGTTGTACATATTCGCATAGAAATTCGCTCGTTTTTTGCACACATCGTAATGTCATGAACCGAATCGATGACCTTTACGACACAGACACATTATTCCTTATTTTTATTTGAGATTCTTAAACTATTAAATATCTGCACTAATTTGTCCTAGATTTTCTTATTTTCGCACTATAGCAAATTATTTTCGCAGCATGCAGTAAGCCCACAAATTGTAAATATTATTCAGATCAGGAGATTAATGATATGTAAATAAATGGGTGACATTGGCGTATGGAAAATTACTATAAATATATAATACCTGTTAGTTGATGATGATATTATCTGATCTTCTTAAGATTTAGATTAAGGACTTAAAATTCCATTCCAGTATTAAATTTTGAATTAATTACTTCACTAAAAAACACCTTTTATTGAGCAGGAAACACTAAGAAGAAAACGGATGGAATTAAAGTATTTTGTGGTCTGAGGTTTGTTGTGTAACCAAATAAAATAAAACTCCACTAACGATATTTGCAGCGATCACGGATCTCTCGACCATACTGAAGTTAAATGTGTACCTGCTATGAATTGATGATGTGCCGTGATGCTGCTGCCTGCCCAATAACATGTTGGCAACAGTGACCGCGGAAGGTTGAGGAGGACAATGTCCCCACGGTTGTTCGATGTCCGCATAATCATCTGCCCATCTTATATAAACCCGGACCTCCCCTATGTTAATGTCCCCACAGCTTCTTCCGCGGCCACTGGTTGGCAACATGCTGTCTGCTCAATTAACTAAATTACCATTTATATGGTCTGATACGAAATACGAATCCCGTCCGTGCAAAGTGAATCCAACCAAGATGGATAAAAATACCAGCAGTAATTGTGCTACACATATGCTCGAAAACAAATCTGAATCCCGTCCATCGGGGATATAACTCTATAATCTATAGGGATCAATTAACAATTAATCAACTCTTCCAGCCAGAAACTCGTTTCAAGTGGGCGAGGAATGGATGACTATAAATTAGTTTTTTGGAATAAGTAATGGAAAAATAGGCTGGAAAACGTGATAGCTTGGAAATCTATGTAATACATCACTTTTTTTAACTGGACAAACTTGTCTTACTGATTATTTTTTCTAATTATCTTAAAATTGAGATGTCCAGTCCACGGGTTGTTTTTTTCACGATGGGGGACAAAAAGTTGTGAATTAGAAGTTGTATAAGAATTAATTGTTGGATTAAATTAATCAAAACACCTGAGTGTTAACCTTATGTATCTTATTCATCTTTCATTATCTCATTGTTATTTTCCTTGTTATAGGATAAAAAATTGAAGGTTTTATACAAAGCAATGAAAAAATGCACATTTAATTAATAACTTAAATTAAGTTACTTAATGATACAAAAGGGATAAGTGGCAATTTGTCTATTAATTAAGTAGCCCCTCTGATGCCACATTGCACATTAATTAATTATATGTAACTAGTTAATGATTCAATATACTTTATGCTTATACATGTTTTTTTTAAAATTTCACATTTACCTACCTTTCACTTTCTCGTAAAATGAGGATTCCTTTATTCCTTAAGTCAGCAGCTTGACGTGTGTCCAATTAAAATTCAAATTATTAGTTCTCAATTGTCGCCAAGATCATAAACAAACCGAAAATTATCGAAACATTAACTTGTCTGTGATGTGATTGTGAAATAAACGTGTCAATCCACAACTTTTTTGTCAACATGGTTAAAATTTTGTACACCAACCAAAAGTAACACAATGTACCCCTTCAAAATACGTAATTATTCAAGTCCTTCGTATATTTTTTGGCGAATGAGTGATTTCATTGTTTATGCAAAAGCAGATGGCAAAAGAAGAGCATGACCGGTTTAACTCCCGGTTTGGAAATCGTCAACTTTGCAGAGGTGCCATAGATGGATCCCAACCACGCTCTCCTCACCGGTTACTGGACCCCAGGGGAAAGGGTACTTGTTCCTTATTATTTGGGACTAGCAATTAGAATAAAGTGCGAAATAGGTGTTAGAAATGTATTTTAATTACTGAACTTGGTAAATCTACCGCGCCACCCCCACAAATTTGCTCCAATACCTCTTGGGAGGGGGTGATTAAAAAGAGAAAGTGAGATTTTTTTTTGGAAAATGAGATTTTCGCTTGTATATAAGTATGTGCTCAAATCGTTCAGAAACATTGAGGGGGTGTGGTCAAGGAGAAAGTGAGATTTTTGAGGAAAATGAGATTTTCGCTTGTTGCGAAATTGTAGTTGCAGCATAAATTAATTATTAGCTAGGAAAGATGGGGAACTTATTTCTGTAGAGCCTAAAAATTTTTTTAAAAAGATTTCACGCAAATATATTCATCCTGGGGGTATGTGTTACGGGGTTGATGGAAAGAGGGGAACAATGAAGTGAAAAATAATTGCATTTCATCTACAGAATTGGATGAAACAAATAATAGTCTAAATTTATGAAGTTAAATTAAATTGATTTATGGAACATTGCAAAATTACAAGGTTTTTTGACATGACTAAAATTTACTTGAACTTTACATAAACTGGAAGCCTTTGCACGGCACAAAATACAGTGATAGTGACAACATCAGAGTCAGAGTTAGTAGAACACTTCAAGTTTAAAAATCTCAAATTCCCCAAAGTTAACAAAAACTTTACCTTGACACATTGTTATTAGAAGGTAAAAAAATGTCTACATTTCCAAAAACTGTACACAGAAAATGGAAAAGAACTAACGTCAAAATTAAATTAGTTCCAAATATTTTTTTACAATGTAAAAACCAAATTATAAATCCCCCCTTTTTACGGACATTTTCTGCGATTTTCTGTGGTTTTTTTTAAGTTTAGGGACCTCTTTTGTGCGACTGCTGCGTAGTCAGATTTTTCGATACTTTTTGTGATACATATTTTTTTCACACATACTCTGCGATACACCTTATACTAAAATTTAATAAACAAAATTATAAATTTATTTACTCGTCTCAATTTGTAATATTCTTTCATTCACTTTACTTACCATTTGTATTAATTTTTCATAAAAAGTAGGAAACTGAGCTTATTTACATTTCTCATTTTTACTAGTTTGTTCAAAATATTATAATTCTGAAAAAAGCATACAATTTTGGTTCCTTTTCCTTCTTGAATTTTCTCAGCTCGACCAGCAAGTTCTGATGGATCTCAAACCACATGATCGTACTAATAATCGGATTACGATAGCATAAATTGTGGATTTGTTTCACTTAAAGCGATTCTTTCTTGCCGTTTGCATTACTTTACTTCATTCAAGTTTAAATTAAAACCCAATTTCAACTTTAGAATAATTTACTCCTGTCAAAATATGTTACTTACAAATATGCAATTATTTAAATATGGATAGGTATTAAAAAATTTAATTATGCAATAATTAATCAATTTATTTCTCATATGTATTTCTACCCGATTTCTTTATTTTTCTCAGAAGAAAACACAAATTTATAAAAGCCTAAATATCCACATATACTAATCAAACTTGACAATTAGTTCATTTTCGAGCTCCAAATTCCTTACAATTCTTGACTTGACTGACTTGCATACCTTAAAATTTAAAGTAAAACCTTGGTGAAAGTGAAAGTGAAAAGTCTCCTTTCGTTCTCTTCATCTCCACCACTGATCTCTTCCTCCAGGAGTGAAATACCTACATACGTCTCTCCCTCTCTCTCTCTCCACCTAAAAAAATAAGTAAATGGATAAGTAAAACATAATAAGAAACGTGCCAAAAATGTGGAGAGGAGGAAGGGCTCACTCTTTACGAAAATACGACAAGCACTCGCATTTCCTCCTCTTTCTCTCCGCTCATTTCTTCTTATTTCACTGTAAAAGTCAGCGACTCAAAGCAAGTAATTTATCTGAACGTCCATCCAGCGTCAGTCCATCTCAGAGGAGAAAATAGCAGCCCTGTGTACATTCATCCTTTGAGGCTGCCACAAAGTTAAAAAGAGAGAAGGTGAAGTCATGACAGTTACCCTGACTCGTTCAGAATTTTAATGAATCACGCCTCTTTTTTTCGGGGAAAGTTTCCTGAAATGGATTGGATTTCATCGGATTCGATGCCAATGCGAGGGGTGCCAGTTCCCGTATAAATAAATAGTCCGCGACTACTTTTATCTCGTACGTGGGCACGCCCGCACAGCACATATCGTTCTGTTGTGGTTTCCGTAATGATCCCATCGTTTGCTTGGTTTGGCTTGGTGCGACAGTGGCCACGGAAGCGGGGGGAGGGGCAGAGGGTTAATGTCCCCACATGATGTTCTCATCATCTGTCCATCTTATCATATAATGTTAACGTCCCCACATGTCCCCACAGCTTCCTCCGCGGCCACTGTTGTATTTGGTTTGGTTTATGGTTGAAGGGAGAAAGAAAGATAGGAAAGCTAAGCAGAAAAAGAAGATAAGTCCGTGAACCCTTTCAAACCAGGATTTTTGAACCCTCCGTTAATTTTTAAAGTAAAGTAAAGCAAAGCACTTTCCCCGTAACGAGAAGGGATTGGATTGTCTTTGCTGCTTTCTTTTCTGCTCTTTAAGAGAAAGTGGTTCGCACTTTCTCGACTTTCTCTTTCTCTCTTTTCTACCTGTTGGATTTCCTTTGGTTTTGTTGTTACTGCGCAATAATGATATCTTTGGAAGTAATAATTTCTTTGTCCACGAACCGTCATTCTTCTTCCCCGCTAATAATAAGGGGACTCTGTGTTAATGTATATATTTACGTAATGCCTCCCCGCTTGGCAGCAATTAGTCGGGTAAGTTCATTATCTCGGAGAAAATGGGAAATGTGGAGCGACTTTATTGAATTAACAACAACAGGCAATGTTCGCTCAGTCGTGGGCTCACTTTGTCTCCGCTGCTTGGATGATAAGAGAGACAGTGGCCGCGGAAGGTGTGCATGGGGACAGTAACATTGTAGGATGGGGGGAAGGACGGGTTTATACGTATAAGATGGGGAGATGATGGGGACATCGAACAACTGTGGAGACATTGTCCCCTCAAACTTCCGCGGCAACTGAAGAGAGAGGACAAGTTTAGTTTAGGAATTGTGTGGTACAGTGGCCGCGGAAGGACAGAGGGACAATGTCCCCAGGGTTATTCGATGACCGCATCATCTGCCCATCTCAAAGATATATCTGTAAACCCCTCCCTCCCCTTAACCTACAATGTTAATGTCCCCAGATGTCCCCACACTATCCGCGGCCACTGCATATCTAGACGCGTATATATCTCATCCAACTAAAATGAGTTAGTTATCGGAAGGAAGAAATTGTCATCGTCGGGCGTCTTATTTTGTTGTAATACATTCTGTTGCCAAGCTAGCTTTCCACAAACCACGAACGAAGCTCCTCGAACTCGACGACTCTCGAACTTCTTGTACTTATGTAGTTAATACTTACTACTCCTGCTAAATAATGATGCTGGGTGGGTGGTTTGGTTTGGTTTGGTTAACCAAACTACTTGTAAGTTGAGATCAGACGACCGATAGTTCCACTCTCTCTTCCAGAGAGAGGAATTAATGTCTACAGTCGAGGGACACACCACCGCCGTGTCGAGGAGAAAGCATGACAAGCAAGCAGTAAGGATGGTGGTGGTGGTGGTGGCCGTCGACGTCGTGTCGTAACGTGATTGTCTGTCATTCAATGAGATTTCGCTAGCGAGAATCCAATTTGCTTCTCCATCGCAATTTCTGCCTTTATTATTCTGGTAGGATTTTCCAGAAAAAAGGAAGGATAATTATGTCGCAGATTTGTTTTTAGGAAAAGTTGAGAATTCATGGTGACGAATGAGACATACTTTTCGACAGGGGTGGGGAAAATACTTTGTGAACATTTTGAGCTCAGTTCGGGATTTCCGGAGGTGTTACACCCACAAAAGGACGAAAACCTACATGGAGACAGTCGAAGATGCAGGATTTGTGGAGAAATTAAATTTTATCGCTGTAAAAATATATTATTTTTAGAAAGTCGTGAAAATTCAATATTTTGCTTTCTCCGCAAATCCTGTATTTTCTACTGACTGTAATCTTCTCCACGTAGATTTTCCCCTTTTTGTGGGTGTAACACCCCTGGAAATTTAAATCCTGGGCAGAACTGAGCTCAAAATACTACGCATTTTGACCCAGTATTTTCCCCACCCCTGCTTTTAAGTAATGTATACGCGAAAAATATTCCACTCTTCATCACCAACTCGACCACTATTCAGCTTAACATCGTCGTATGCATGCATACCTATATCCACCAGAGTTATTAGAGTCGCATGTTACTTCCACACCGCAGGACTTTCACTCCTAATGAGGCACAGAATGGGAATTATCCAATTTGCGAAGTGAAGCAAATTCCACTCAAATAACCTACTTCATTTCGCCGAGGTGCATAAAATCAAATACATTCATACGTTCCCTTTCCATACATTCAATCCATGAGGGTACGATGATGGTGAAAGTTGAAACGAGCCTGACTTTCACCATGTTGCTAAACCAACTAACGGATTGAACTAACCACCTGGCGAGGGGAGGTTTAAAACTCCCCAAGCGAATTATTTCCTCAGTACAATAATTTTATTGAAGTTTGAATCAACTTACAACACAGCACACAAGTCTCAAGAAGCAAAAAGGACTACGCGGATGGAATTTGAGACGACGAAACGACGACGATCAACTGAATGTCATAGACTTAACTTGCCCAAAGTGTATAACCAACCAACCAACCAAACTATCCAACAACTTTCTCTTTAGCTCAAATTTTCGTTTAACTTCTCCAACCTTATAAGTAGTTTAGGTTTCCAGTGGCCGCGGAAGCTTGAGAGGGGGCAATATCCCCAGGGTTGTTCGATGTCCGCATCATCTCCCCATCTTAATAAACCCCACTTTCCTTTATCCTACAATGTTAATGTCCCCACACCTTCCGCGGCCACTGACCAATTGCTGCACAGAACTGTATATGTGGCTATCATAGCCGAGAGAGAGACACATAATTACAAATAAATAGCCAAAGTCTTACTGATTTCCCAGGAGGAATTGCAACCAGAATGAATTCAAATTATGATAAATGTTCTGCAATCATTGTTCATCAATGTCTCTCTCCCTCTCAGAGAGACGAAACGGAGAGCAAAGTAAACTTGAGTGGGTGGGAGACGGAAAGATAAATAAGAAAGAAGAAAGTTCCTTCTCAAGCATAATGCAATCCGCAGCCGCTTTCACTCTCCTCATCCTCTTGTCATCCATCCTGTAGCCATGCCCATACTGCGTGTCGTCGTCTCGTACAAATGCACACATTAAGACGACAACGAATATTTGTGACCAAAATATATATAATACAATCGATAATAATGGATGGACACACATCACCACCAACTTGTCATCATTGTCATCGGGTCCACCAACCCATAACGAGTCGTATTTAGAACTAAATAACGACGCCACGCCAACAATCAGCCACCAACCATAATCTTGACACATGGCGTGGCGTGGGCCGTCGTGGGGTTTTATTAATCTTCGATCCATCCCGATTTTCTTCACCTTTTTGTTATTGTATCGCGGAGCTAGGATACGGATTGAGGGTAATCATCAAGCAGGCAGGGGTTAGTACTCCTGGCTGCCTCGGTTTTCGGATGGTAACCAAATTGCGTGGCCTGGCTGTGTGTGGGTGCGTTTCCAAAATGCGCAACGGCAGCCCGCCACCGCTCCTTCTTACTTAATCCTCCACCGAATTTCGGAGGAGTCGACGAACTCTGGTCTAAACATTACGCTGCACAAGAAGTACGACGACGACGACGCCATACATGCGTGCCGTCGAAGAATATGTGTGTACATGGACATACATACAAACTTGCCTTAACTTGTGCTGGAGTGTGGTGGTGGAGATGGTTTTTCTCTAACAAACTTTACCCTTTTTTCCTATCCTATCCTATCCTGTTTCAAATCCACCCTGCAAGTTTTAATCTGGGCCCTGTAGCTATCCATCCATCCTTTGTGGCATCCATCCATATGTTTAGAAGAGCTCTCTCCCCCACGAGTGCCTCCAGCAATCCGCGTCCTCGTATCACCATCACCACCAGAAGAATCCTGCCCACCTTTTCCAACAAGTAATAAGTAATCTTTCCGAAACAGAACAGAAATTCGAACAAAATTCGGAAGAAAATGCAATAATGTTGTGGATTGGGGGACATGCCTACGTAAAAACGACGCTGCGAACCTAACGTGAGTTACCAGGCAGTGCGAAACTGACTGACTAACTTGACTTCCTCCGCTTTTCTGGTCTGGTATCCAAAACCAAACCAAACCACGCACACGGGAGAGAATGCACACTTTACTTTACGAACGAACGCCAACCGTGTAGGAGAGAACGCTTCGTCTTTTCGAATCTGTTGAACCCTCGTAGAAGAGCGTAGAGCAGAGTTGGTTGGTTTGGTTTGGATGAAGTGGCAGAGGAAGGGAAAATGACAATCAGTCCGATTTCAGGAGCTGCTGGATGGACCACTACGCCGACTTTTAGTCCGTAGATCGAGTTTTAGAAGCATGCATATCTTCATCCTCTCTTTGCAACATTTTCCCCTTTAAACAAAAAAACAAAGAAGAAGCAACAGACAGCATTCTGCTACCGAAGGAGACGATTGAAATCCTTACTTACTTATAAAATCCATTCCAAGGACATGACAACAACAACAACAATATCATCATCATCTCTTTACGCGTATTGCCAGTAACAGTCAGCAGTGGTGTTGTTCATTGTTGCATAAAATAATCACTTGTGTTTGTTACTTTCCTGGGAAGAAGATGATGAACTGAACAAGAATAAGTGAAAAACTAAAAATGTTTCCCATACGTATCAAGGAACAAGTGTGAAAAGAAGGACAACAATTGTCAACTTGTTGGCACATCATCATCATCATCGTCGTTGACGTTTGTTTGTGTACAAAAAGCTTTGAGAAAGAGAGAGAAGAATAAGTTTTAAAACGACTTTTTGTCTTCACCGTGACATACCAAGTTAAATTCAATTATTCATCAAAAGTGTTGAACAACATATCAAAAAAGAGTGCAAATCCGAGCGGTCCAAGAAATTCGAGTGTGTATCTTTAACCAAATTGTACCCTATTCTCATTTAAGAAATAGTAAAAGAAAAAATATCACCAATTTTTTTAACGAAATATTTACAGTGTTTTCTTATAAAATCAATCAATTAATCACACCATTTTTTTCATCTCATCAAGCAAAAACAAACGTACAAATTCGGAATATCGATACACCCTGTGGACTGATAAGTACTTATCGTAATATTAACTTTTAATTTTGATATATACCAAATTCCTTTTACGGACCACATCACGGATACAAAAAAACCAAGAAGTTCAACTTCATCAACTCATCATCCTCACTCATGTAATACTTAATTTTAATTGAACTAAATCAACTAGTGTCGCTGTTCGTTATCTCCTTTCCTCTTAAACCATTTTCTTCTCCTCGCCTCTCCTCTCCATCAAATTATTCTGTAATCTTCTTGTAGTATTTTCTCATTCACGATAAAAATACAGCCTGCTTCTCAAAATTTATGATAACACGACACGATAAACATTCCTTGAAGAGGAGACGAGACGACCAAACCGTGCATAATCTTAATCTTCTATCGTGAATTGTACATTACTTTTTTGCCTCTGCTAAATACGCAAAATTAAAAAAATAAACTTTGTGGAAATTTATCGCACAACTTCTCACCGGGCGAGGGAACTTTTTTCCGAAAAAAAAATAACAAGGAGGAAATAATTTGTTCAAATTCTTCTTTCGTCTGGAGCCGTTTAAGCTGAACCTGTACGTCAAATGCTGGTAGTTATCTCTCTCTTTTTTTACGATTTATAAGGCTTTACTATTTATTTATGCTGTGATAAAATCTTGTGTTCTCGGCTTAAAAAGAAATATTTTATGGCTTCTTGGCTGCAAGACATGCATCCAATCCACTCTATTTATCATCATCCATCCATTGATTGATTCTCTTCTGACTTGGAATAATGCGTGTTCAATTGAAGAGATGAAAATGAAATTGGAGAGAGAGAAATGTCATGCTCATAAAATAAAATGGCTGATTTATTACGGAGCAAAAAAATCTCAACTACTTTTTTTTCAATTAATTTTCCATCAAGTAGAGTTGATGATATTTTAATTGTTGCTGCATTAATTAAATCGTACTTTACTCCAATTACGAGAACGTATATAAATGAGTCGTTGAAACATTTTTATTTTTATGACTCACTTATTTATTTACAACGTGTAGAGTAATTGCTCCTTCAAAATTAATCAAGTTTGAAGTTTTGAATAATTCTGTGTCAAGATTATCCAAATTATTTTACATTTCTCCCTACATCGCGATATCCATCCGCCCACGGAACAGAACCTTTCTGACTTTTGAGGCAGAAAGTGTAATCTCTCAGCAGTGGCCGCGGAAGCTGTGGGGACTTTTAGAATGTAGGGGGCGAAAAGTTTGTATAAGATGGGCAGATGATGCGGACATCGAACAACCGTGGGGACATTGTCCCTCTGTCCCCTCACCCTTCCATCCGCGGCCACTGCATACCAGGGCAGAGAAGAAGATCCAATCTCCAGCTTTAAATGTCATGTTGCCATAATATCCCCCTCTTCTCCTCTGCAGCTGGCTGATTTGGCTGACATTGTTTGCATTGTTTGTGTGCTGCTGCAAAATGGCATGAACGATTTGGTGAAAGTCTCATCAAATCAAAATCGGAAGGAAGGGATTTGATGAGAAATTTGAGTCAGCTCACGCCTTCGTCACATTTGACTTACTAAATGATGTCCTTGTTTGTTTGGCATTCTTCTATTCCTTCCAACTTTTGGACTACTTGCCTAATTGCTTTTGATGCTGATGTAAAAAAACTTTTCTTGTTTTGTTTTTAGAATTTCTTCGTGGAAAAAAAATATTCCGTGTGTGTGAAGCAGGAATCTTCTTGTGAAAAAAAATAAACTAACTGACTGAACTTGTGTAGTGTTGTGTGTTGTTGTTTTTGTGGCTAAAAAAACGCTAAAAAATCTTTTTAATAAACTGTACATTGTAATCTGTGTGTTTGTGTGTAGTAAACATTGTTCTTGTTATTGTGCGTGGACTTTTTTTGAACTTTTTTGAACAAAATTATACACAAATTATACACACGAGAGTTTCTCCAGGCATCTACAAATATACGACATACACACATATCTATCGTGGACATACGATGTAAGTATCTTGTATGTAAGCTTTATAGTTTTCCAATTAGTTTGAGCTTTTACTTTTGAGATTCGGTGTGCAATTTGGTTGTTTAACTTTTGCTAATTTTTCGCTTGTCGTATCAAAGTGAGTGACCGTGTTTATCATGCTTTTAAGGTAATTAGTAATAATACATAAACTCCATCAGCAGATTGGTCATTCATTACGACCAGGCTGCAATTACAGTCAGAGAGCTCTGGATGTATTTATGTATGTGCTTCATGCAATGGCGGCGGAATTTGGGGGACATTAGTATTGTGGCATCGGAGGAAAGCGGGCTTAAAGACACGATTTTGCTGAATATCTCTAGGGGCAATGTCCCCCTGCTTCCGCCGCAAATGGCTCAAGATACATAGCATCCCACGCCACGCGAGGTGAAAGTTTGGCATACATTTTTTCCCAGAGAAAAAAAAACCTGACACTTGTTCAGGAAACGGAAGAAATCCACCATTTTTAAGGAACCTAACCGCCGCTACAGACAAATGTCCCCTACACGTGAACACACGCTTATTATTATTGTAGCTCTATTCAACTACGTACAAAACGTGACACTTATTGCGTACAATCAGTTTCAACCCTTCCACTCTTTATCTGTCCGGCGGGACTTTTTTTTCGCAACCTTTTCACATAATATCGCCATTTTTCTCCCCTTGTCCGATCCTAAGTTCACGGATGACCATCAATTCTGCCATCATCATCATTGGTTGGCTTCACCCAAGTAGAAAAGCTCTTCACACACGGTACCGGTACTGACAAAGAAAAAGAGCAAGTATAGTCCACAAATTTTCTCAGGGCTGGGCCACCATTGGCCGCGGAAGCTGTGGAGACATTAATATTGGGAGGGCCGGGTTTATATAAGATGGGCAGATGATGCCGACATCGAACAACCGTGGGGACATTGTCCCTCTGTCCTTCCGCGGCCACTGTTTTAGACTTGCAAGCAGTGGCAACGACGGGTGTGCATTTTCCTGTCGCTACCAAAATTTATGAGCACTCTCTCCCAGAAAACTCCTGGTCTTCTTTTTTCCTTTCTTTTGCAATAATGAGAAGCAAAATTCCTTAGAAAATGAACACGGCGACTTTTACTTACTCCGCCCGTAGCACACTTCTTCTGCTCCACAGATTTACGGAAGTGAGTTGCTGGTGGGTAGAGTCGAGCTGGTAAATAATTCAAAAGAAGAAGACTCTCGTGAATGCATTGTCTACTTCATTTCATGTATAATCCAGTCGCCTTACAAGACTTTGACCATCTGCTCCTGCCCTGCGAGAATCTCAAGTCCGACGCAGCACACACATGCAGTTTTTTTTACTTGCCTGTTGAGTCCTCGGGTAAAACAGTGTCTCAAAATTTTATGACAAGAAGGAAGGAAAAGCATTTCCCAGAGTTTTAATGTCTCATGCAAACATGCACAAACAAACAAGTAGGAGAGGAAAATTCTTTAAAAGTCGTGAGACGCCAGGCCAGATATCTGGGTGGCTGGTGCTCCTGGTAAAAAACCAGAACCGGAAGAGAACGCAGGAACAAGAACAGTGTGGAACATCACGCTCTTGTTCTCATTCATCATTCATGTCCAGTCCGCAGGTCATGCAAATATGGCACACACACAAACAGTGGCCGCGGAACAGAGGGACAATGTCCCCACGGTTGTTCGATGTCCGCATCATCTCCCATCTTATATAAAGCCGTCCCTCCCTTCCCTATCCTACAATTTTAATGTCCCCAAATGTCCCCACACCTTCTTCCGCGGCCACTGGGTGCGTGCCAGAGAGAAAGCAGTGCAGCAGAGTCAACAGATTTCTTCTTCGTCTTATTCTCACCGAAGGAGTAGAAAGAACAAATGTTGTCATTTAGCGGAAAGATCGTGCCTAGGAAAGTGCTGGTTTGGTCGACGTTTCTGTGGAACAAACTCATTTACTTTTTTATTACCTTCGTTCGTAATCACTGTTACATTTTATGACTAGATTTCAGGCAATTTCAGTTCCTAAATTTCGGGCGTGGAGCAAAACTAAATAGCATTTTAGAGACCTCCTTTTATGGCTTGGATATGCATTTGCGATCTCTGCTGCTCTGGATCGTACAGATATTTATTATCTTGCAGGCAGCCTTTTACAGGGTGGGAGTCGATTTAATGTTCGCACTAGAACAGGGGCCGCGGAAGACAATCGGTTGTTCGATGTCGGCATCATTATATAAACCCGGCCCTCCCCTATAATCCCACAATGTTAATGTCCCCACACCTTCCGCGGCCACTGCACTAGAAGAATACGCACCACCAACCAACAAATCTCTCTCATGTCGATCGACCTGATTTTGAAATGCGTTCACAATTTTTTTAAATAATGGGTCGTGAAACGTGTAGCAAAATGAATATTTGACTTTCTACCGAATCCTGTAGAGCTGGTGATTATGCTGTATTTGTTTAATCTCTCTCGCTCCCATTCATTGATGTATGAGCATTGAGCAATTTCAATAATTTAATTAGTCGATCCTGGGCGAAATTCCAATCTGTCTCTCTCCACTTGGATGAGAGGAGGCTCGTCCATTGTGAGTGGGACAATGCTTTTGTCTTTTAGTCTATTTACTTATTTGAGGCGAGCCATTATGTGATTAGCATACGCCGGATATTTAGTCATTTCCAATTTCAGGGGAGATTTGATGACCCACCACGACGACTGGGAAACTTTGTGCGTCTGTCGGTTCCATCCACAATTCTTCTTATAAAAGACTTAAATTTTACAATTTTTCTAAAAATATTTCTAGATTTCTCTGAAAATTATTTGAAAAATATGGAAACATTTCGAGAAATAGATATACGTGTGACGTGTATATATAAATTTTGCAAATTCGTAAATTTTAGGCAGAAGAATTTTTGTTAAAAAGTTGGGATATAAAAAATTTTGACTTGAATCTCAAGATTGGCGAAAAAATGCTTCAAAATTCGCATTTTTGTATTTTGTCGATAAGATATTTTGGCGTTTTTCTCATGAATATTAATAAAATATTTTCTCGATTTTGCATAAATACATAGCCGCCCCATGCTATGCTGTTTAGATTCTTCTCTCGTTGTAATAAATCAGCCATTTATTATTCAAGTGGATAAAAGCAATTATATTATTTCAGCCATAATAATGCTCTCCTTGAAGATGAAACACTTCATAATTTACAGATGGGTTCTTCTTATCTCATCGTATAAATTATTAGTAAATTATGCTCTCCCTTCGTTCGTACTCTCAAAATTGCGAAATAACTTGGAAAATTTGACAAGAAAATTCCAAAATTTCGGTAGCAGTTATTAAAAATTTTCTCCACTTCCTAACATAAAATTCCGGGCAAATAGCTTGCTTATTAAAAAATATTTTTTTCCAATCTTTCGTTCTGGTTCCAGTTCATCTTTGTATTTAGCAATTTCAAGACGAAAAGTTCACAAAAGTACCATAGTCATTACCTTATCTGAACAATACCTTATCATTTCAAAACTTTCCACCAGAAATAAATCGCTCCTAAATATTTCTCACTTTGAGAACATTAAAAAACGCCTAATTCATCAAAACTGCACGAATGCACACATATGTACGCTTTTGTTTAAAAAGTCCAATTTTTTTCATGCTAAACATGAACATGAACACATCCATGCCCACTGGACTTCCGGATATGAGTTGACCAGCAGACAGACCAGGCGTGAAGTGAACTTTAAGCTTCCTCTCCTCCTCCTCCTCCGCATCCTCTAATGTTCATCCCCAACCATTGTTCTACAGATTTCGAAATTAATAATAACAATAATAATGAGCCTGCCCCTGCTCCTGTTGAATTGCATTTGTCTGATTAATCAGTCCGCCTAAACACCAAAAACCACAAATAATACGTAATAATAACCCGTCTACATGCATGCAGATAGACGCACATGTCTGTAAAATTCAGACTGCATCCACCCATTCACGCACAAACAAATGAGTGTGATTTTGTATGTAAACTTTATCCGTTGTTTTACACCCGTATTGTTGTAATTGCACAGGAAATTGGTAATTTGTTGGGTTGAGAAAGCACCAAGCACGAGGGAATGAATGTATGTATGTTCCTTATTATTAAGCATTCATCACTACGCGGTAATAAATATGTTTGGCCAGTTAAAATACATACGAGGAGTACAAAATTAGTGCATTTTCCAGTTCGAAGTACATACAAATATTTATTACGAGTTGGTCGGAAATGTTCACATCTGCAAAAACTGCGAGAGGCGAAGGGTTCCTCATCAGTCAGGACGACTCAGTGGCCGCGGAAGGACGGAGGGACAATGTCCCCACGGTTGTTCGATGTCGGCATCATCTCCCCATCTTATACAAACCCGTCCCTCCCCCTATCCTACAATGTTACTGTCCCCACAGCTTCTTCCGCGGCCACTGCAGGACGTACATACATAATAACCCCGATGATGAGGCTTTCTGACATTCCGCTGTTTCAATTACAGTGTGAAAGATAAAATCAACCCGACCAAATTATAATATTCTCTAGCTCCTTCCGTCTTAATGCGATAGGACGCGATGCAATTTTCAGGCGTGATGGTAGCCGACAAAGTGAAAAAAATTAGTTTCACAACGTCACGAATTGTGTGGTATGAAATGAAGTATTTATTTCGTCCTCGTGTGCACTGTGCAATGTAATTTGATGCGACGCCACATACGTGATGATGACATGCGGGTTAGAAAGATATTTCCAATTTGACATCATCTCAGTATTCATTTCAGTCCCGAATTTTGTGGCGATTTTCATGGGAAGTTTGGAAAGTTGAATGGACTCCGTGGTTTTGGTTGTTCTCGTTCCATAATGGAAAACTTTTTACTGGGCTGTGTAATATCTGCCTCCATTACCAAATTTCTCTTCACATTCGCACCCAGATACAGGAACAGTGGCCGCGGAAATTGGGGGGGGGGCATAGGGGGACATAAGCATTATGAGATAGGGACTTATTAAC